AGTCAGTGCACTGACCAGGCCGTGGGGTGAGGAGCGAGAGGTCGAGAGAGGTCAGAGACACACACGCAAAGCAGCCAAGCACTCCTTTACCCAACATCAGTAACTCACAGTGCGTCCCTGGAGCTAAAGTATTAAATTGACAGGGGGAACAAGTCAACTCTGGCTGGATCCAGATTTAGAGTGTGATCATATCCAGGCCAATGAAAGAAGCACGTTTATTCAGCGTATTGTAGATACAAAATTCAGGTATATCTTGCTTTCTTTCACCCTCATTTTATTCTTTTAGTGTTTAGATTTATACATTATTATGTTAGATGATCTATATTATCAAGTCAAGTCAGTTTTATATGGCCCAAATAACAAAATTAGCCTCAAGGAGCTTTACAATCTGTACAACATACGACACCCTCTGTTCTTAGACTTTTGTTTAGGATTAGATTTCCAACGTCAACGTTGGAAACCTTTGATTTACACCCGCTTCGTGAGGACAGACTAACTCCGGTTGATGTTTACAGCCCGCTACTACAAAAATAGTTTTGGTCTCTCGGGCTAATTTTTTCCGTTATTGAGAACTGTACAGGGGGTTCATTTTTATATAACTAACCCGTTTAAATGATATTGAGGCTGTACGCATAATTGAGGGTGTGGTGGCTTTGAGTGACAGGTGGGCGCCGTACCAGATTGGAGGCTCTCTCTCACCCTCGCTCGTCTCATCTTCACCGACGATGCACCTCTTTGCCCACTTTGGATTAGCCTGGAGTTAGGCTGTGTCATCACAGCGGCTCTTCAGAAACCTATGAGTGACATCACAGAGACATATTCTATGGTTCTCACTCCCAACTCTTCAAATACTGCAACTTGGTCAGTGGCCCTACGCCTCAAACTATGATGCTCTAGGTACCCCTCGAGTCAGTTTTGGACGTGTCACAGACAAAGTGTCACTTTCTACTTGTTTTCTGCATAGTGTCTTTTCAAAATATACTTCCAACGTAGCTCTACTTAGTTTTACGTTTTAGTTATGCAATGGACTTCCTCATATTTGAAATAGCTAAATAATTTACTAAAACAGCTGGGCACTGTTTTTAGCTAAGGTTTCTCAAACATGAGTAAGTAGTGCATTTGTTGGGGACTATTGTCAGCTGGGGATTAATACACATTTTAAATGACAACGATAAATATAACAATAAACTAATTATTGGTTTTGGTCTTGGGATTGATGGTCTATGCTCAGGTGGACAGACAGGTATAGTTACATGAAACAGGTGGACTGTCCCGTCCCCGGATGGTCCCTGTCCCTCCGGTTACTCAACCCATGTGTCACCGATCTGTGTGAAAGTGTTAATGGGCAGTGCATGTTCCACATCACGCTCCAGCGCTCAGGCCGATTTCACAACAGACGTGACGGTCTGTGTACTGGATAAACTGATTTTTGCTTCTTGTTATTATTTGTCGTTAATGGTTGACGAATTTTAAATGGAGACATGTGAAAGTGCCAGAAAAATGTACGGCAAAGTGTATGTTTTTGTAAGTTAGCGTGCGCGTGTCTGTTAATGCTACTGTTGCTTGTTTAGTTATTATCTCTCAGATAAAAGATGTTCTTAGATCATTTTGGGCTTACATTTACAGATTTTCGATCAGATTTATACGAAGGTGTATCATCCCTTTCTTCGTTGAAATTGGTTTAATTTATGAACACTAATGTGGCAGAAAACTCAATTAATGTGACTATTTTTCAGATCATCTTTCTTTAATCATATCTAACTTTTACTTTTAACACTACGTTCCCCTTTGATTGTGTGAGAAGGTTTAGTGTCAGACAGCACATGGTCTAATTTATTCTGTTGTTAAGAATATCAGTCAATTTGTTTGGGCCCTAAAAACACTTGAGTCATTAACTTGTCTACCCGGAAATGACAGGGCAGCAGACAGACTGTAATTTATGTGTTTCCACTGGCTTATTTACTTTACCCACATAAGCATCTATGCCACTTAACACACTGGCGCGAAGGGCAGCTAAGGTGCACATCACAGGGAAACTTTATACCAAATTAGTAGCCAGAGAAAAGAGTGTGATCTGTGTAATAACACTAAAAGCTGCAGCACAAAACTCTTTGATGATGTGTCCCAATAGAACAAAAGTGCTTTTAATAAGGCTGCACTATCATAAAATCAACATTCCTACAGAGAATTGTCTCTAGTCAGCAGTGTATTAGTTAATGACCTTATTGAGCTTTATGGTTTTATCTCTTCCTGTATCGTAACTGTTGTTATATTCATATAATATGAGTTACATTCGGATCATCATAAAAATTCCCTGCAAGGCTAAACTTCCACTAACAGCACATGTTGTGTTTAAGAAAGAGTGTCTGCATCATATTGGCTCTGGTGCTAATAGGCTAAGAGCAATCCTGTATTACTAATGATCAACCACATTGATACTACACTGAAAGATTACATCTCTAACCAATAATTTGCTAAGTATCTTGTAAACCATCATGCATATTCACAGAAGAGGTCCGTGGCTTCTGTGTTGATGTTGTTTTTGTTTAGAGCAAAGTTGCAGAAAGATTATTTCACTTGGGTTGGTTTATAGTTTTGTAGGAAACACAGTTTGCTAACGCAATGTTCTATCATCAAAACAATGATTACACCTGTTCAGTATTTCACTCAGAATTCGGACAAAATCCTGGATTTTATGTTCCAAGAGCCCGTTTGTTGATTATATACATGTTTCCAAGACAATTAATGCTGTAAAACCAACCTGCTCTACAGGAAGCTGATCTTAACTCCTGGTCCCAGGTCAGTTTTTCAACTGTCAACACTGAGCTACATATCATTAATCTCGTGATATTTTGGATGTACAGTAAATCAGAATATATGATTATTTGCTTTAATACAATTTGAGAATCCAGTCATACTAGCGTGAAAAACAATGTAATCGCAACTAATGTCAAGTCAACTCAACTAATTTGATATTGAATAGAGAATATAAATGTTTTTTGCAGTGTTTATGAATTTCAATAGTTAATGCAGTTGATTTACAATGTTATGCAATACAAAAGATACTAAAGGTATTTTTGTCGTTGTGAAAATAGCATTTTCACCACTAAGTCTTATTTCAGATGACATACAGGCATTTAACGGAGATTGAAAGTCAATAATATGTTCATCTATAAAGTTGTTGTAACTGCAGCATGTCGATGGAAACATCTCCCCCTATAGTTTAAAACTGTAATGCATTTATTAATGCAGTATTGTGTTGTTTATTTAATCTGTATCACCTCTGTCAGGCTACAGACTCACTGATGGAGAGAGGCAACATGCCAACACACCATTATGTACAATAAAGGTCTGCAACTGCATCTTTGCTTTCATTTATAGATGTGGTTTTTTTAAATTTTAAAAAAAATCTATTTGGTTTTCATTGTTCATAGTGTTTGTTCAATATATCTATTGTATCTGTGAACATCGCAGATAATTGTTAATTGTGCGATAGTTGACATATCTTTCGAGTCTAATTTGAGTTCAACTTTGATCGTGCGATCATTTTTTTTCAATTTATACTTTCCAATAAAACCATTATCATAACAGCAAGGCTTACCCCCGCGGGAACTCATGCAGCCACTGGGTATAATATGAAAACGTCTTCAGCTCTCCGTGAAAGATGCAGTCTAGTTTTACAGATTTAAGTTTAAGAGCAATTTGTTAAACCACCTTCAAATAACAACAGCAACAAAAACCAGACTCATGTATCAACAGTATTGTATCCTACTTCTCAGGATTTCCCCCCTTTGATCTGCTTTATGAATATTCCCCATTTAATATCAAACGACATGTAGCCCATCTTATTTATTGTTTGCAAGAAAATGTCTTTAATAAAGTTTACAAAATACATTTGAATGGGTTTGCTTGAACTTTAATATCCGATTGGACACCTTCGACATCGCGCTGCACCTGTTTGTTGACCTCTCTGTCTTTGTTAAAGGCTTTAACTGAAGGAGGATAAGCTGAACAGCTTTATTATTGTTTTATTTACAGAACAGTTCCACAAGGAAACAAATGTGAAAAGGTCTCTAATAGCTTCCCCCTGTTCCTACATTAATGGTTAAAAGTTTGTTTATCCCCTTAGTGGATTGAAGGTTTATGGGTCTTTTTCTAAATTTGCAAAGTGAGATAAGTGCTGAGGCGTTTCATTTCGCCATTTAAGGAACCCAAATAGTTGATATCGTGTCGTGAAGTTGAGCGCAGATAAGAGAAAATTGAGGCAATTTACAACTTCTAAAACGGATTTTTATCACACGTTTTCTAAGTACATAGTTATGGACCATTAACATAGTTACATATATATTTCATATATTTAAAGTAAAAACAACCCGAAAAAGGTATTTTATTATTACTGTAATTCTAAAGACGGAGTCCGATTGATCTTTGAAGAGATTATGAATAATTGTTGATTGCTTTTTCAGAGAAAGTTGAAAAAGTTAAACTATTTCTTCTCACTGTATTAAAATCTTAATAAAAACTATAAGCATTTATATGGCCCCGTCATGTGAGACTATTTGCCTAAAACGAATGCGTTTATTTGGCTTCATTCAAGGAAACAAGCTGAATTAATGAGAACAACCACAGCTATTAACACCTATACGATTAGCCCATTAAGTAATAATGAGAGTACTCGAACACCTAAATAATTAGTCAAATAAATACACAAGATGTTGCTTCTACTCGCCGAACTACGTCAACTACGTCAAGGCCTACAACTAGAATAAAAGATCCAGCAGTGTGAATATGTGCAGCTCGCATTTCTTAAAAGTCTTTATGGCATATACAACATGGTCCAAAGTCCATGAAAGTTTTGCTGATAAGGGGAGCCAATAAAAGCAGCAGTGCAGCAGTGTAAACACATGTCTACCTCGGCCCAGAGAGGGCTTTATTCACTGGATTTACATAAGGCTCCCATCAGCCGGCCCACTCATTACCACGTTTTATATCCCCCTGCACTCTGAAAGCATCATGAGAAACTAGCTCCATCCTCCCCTTCAACAGGGAAGTGAAGCAGCTTGTCGGAGCAGGTGTCAGCAGCCGCAATCTCCCCACATCACTGGAGCAGAGAGGAAGACAGGAACTTTATTTTTTACTTTGTTTATTATCCCTCTGTTTCCTCCCCTTTCCCCTCTGCTGCAGCGCGCAAACAGCAGGCCTATGTTGAGTTTTTAATGTTCTCAAAAATGGTATCCAAGCTGACATCTCTCCAGCAGGAGCTCCTCAGCGCCCTGCTGGACTCAGGAGTTACCAAAGATGTTCTGATCCAGGCCCTGGATGATATGGACCCCAGTCCGCCTGGCTTTGGAGTAAAACTGGAGCGCCTGCCCATGTCCCCCGCTCCTCCTCAGAACGGCAAAATGAACGGGGTGGACGTCGATTCGAAGCCCGTCTTCCACACGCTCACCAACGGCCACAACAAGGGCAAGATGTCCGGGGACGAGGGCTCCGAGGACGGGGACGGGGACGACTACGACACCCCGCCGATACTGAAGGAGCTCCAGTCGCTCAACACGGAGGAGGCCGCCGAGCAGAGGGCGGAGGTGGATCGCATGTTGGCGTAAGTTCCTATGTTATCTGACATTTTTCAAAAGTGTGAAAAACTAGTTTAAATCTATTTCAATCACAGTATGCGGGGTGGAATTTGCTTTAACTCACATCAAATGCTCTATTTGTTTGCGTTTTAAAGGTTAGAAAATGAAGCCTACAATTATATGAATCGACCTTTATATATAAAAGTAATTTCCCTTCTTCGTTTACAATTATTTTGTAATAACCCGCCGCGGTTCTGTTTTAACAATCTAATTTTCCACATGGGTTATACTTTCTTTACCTTTGGAAAATATCAGCTGCACTTAGATCTATTTATTATTAACTATAGGCCTACTCCACCTAAAAAACAAAAAAACTTCTGGCTGAGAATTTAGATAGAACATATTATTAAATACGATAATACATTCTCAATAATAAATATAAAATCAATTTAAGTGTATAGTTATTACTTACAATGTAACAGTTGTATTATTTCTATTTATTCACGTGTCAGTAAACACATCGTGCGAAAACATCCTAATTGGATCTCATGCTTCTAATCCCTTTAATCCACTCAAACCACTTGATTCACTGTAAAACTAATATTTGAGGTCCTAACACGGACCGGAAGAATATCAAAACTAACCCACGTGTAGTTAAGTTATTATTAATTTTATTCTATAAATCATCAACTGAAAGATACACAGTGGCGTGTGATTAGAGTGACTGGAGATCTGGTTATTCATTGTCAAAAGTTATAAACTAACATATCCCACTTAACCCACAGACTTAGATGCAGGCCTCCACATTCTCCAAAACAAACAGATGTGTGTAGATTTGCTATAATGTCAGTGTGTCAGGCCTGCTAATCTCGGATCCGTTTTACACCCGAGTATATTTTTGCTATACGATGTCATACTGCTGCAGAAATTGGAATTATGAATGAATAATTTGAACCGCTAATTATACAGGTAAGAGCATGTTTTAATGATACATATATGCATGCAACGTTCATGTGAATATAATAAAATGTAATTTATTTGAAACGAAAAATATATATTCTTTACTGAACTTTGCCTTTCTTTGAGATTAATATCCTTAATATTACTGACAAGTATACAATCCTGACCAGAAGTTCCTTTGATTATTATTTAAAAAATATCTGATCTTCTTTTAACAAATGCATTTATTTTGTATTTAAATATAGGCTATATACATATATACATTACACTATATATATTATGTAGACTGATGTTAAGTATTATCATTTTTTCCAAATACTGTTAAATTATCTGACAAATATCTTTTTCCTAAGTTTGAAGTTATGTCGAGCTGTCCGAAGATTTGTTTCACAGTTTTGGGGTTCTTTTTAATTTACACTTCTATTGTTCATGTTTACTTTAAATGTACACAAACCTAATCCAACTGTTTCTAGGCTGAAATCATGCGTTCAGGTAACAAATACTAGGTCCAAATTTCTCAACCTGGCTGAAACCACTTGAATATTTAAGGCCTATCGAATAGGTCGCAATGATAAACGGGTCGTCTTTGAAGGGACTTCCCCTTTAAAATTGAGGCCCTAAAAAACAGTCAAGCTAAAGGAAAGGAACAAGTTCATGTGTGTTCCATCAGAGTATTTCCATATTTCGTATACATATAAATGAGTTAATTTTAATATCAACAAATCTAACCAAATTCCACTTGCATGAATAATTTCGTCATGTGTTTACATTATTTTAATAGCATGAAATAGACCAAAAACTTTGTTTCAGCCGTGAGTAAAGGTTTTTTTTGCTATTTACGACTTCCCTCTGAAAGCTGCGATTAGTTAAGTGGTGAAATGAGTGTTTTCTGCTCCTGTGTTTTATCTGAACCCAGAGAGGATCCATGGCGCGCTGCCCGCATGATCAAAGGTTACATGCAGCAGCACAACATCCCCCAACGGGAGGTGGTGGACGTCACAGGGCTGAACCAGTCTCACCTCTCCCAGCACCTCAACAAAGGCACGCCCATGAAAACACAGAAGCGAGCGGCCCTCTACACCTGGTATGTCAGGAAACAGCGGGAAATTCTCCAACGTAAGTTAATATTTGAGTTTCTCACAGCTTAGCCCCGGCGTATAATGTGTACTTGGCAAAAGCGCTGCACTTTATTTGGGCATAACACCTGTAGGGATATCAATTTTGGGTTGGACATTTCCTGATCATGCTGGGTGACATATACAGCACCTACATTCTGTCATAAGGCATCCAAAGGAAATACATATGATTTATGGACAGAAAACACCACTATTATGTACATAACTAACTTGTCCTTTTACAAATGTGTATTTTCCTTTTGTGGTTTTAAAAGAAAGCTTTATTAGAGTTTTATTAAATGTACCTCTTCTTGTTTTGCAGAGTTCAACCAGGCAGTGCAAGGCTCTATGGGCAACATGACAGACAAAGGCAATCAGGATCCGGTGTTTTTTTTCCCAGAGTTCAACCCGTCCGGTCAGGGCATGGGTCAGCCAGGTGAAGAGGTCGGCAGCGAACCCTCCTGCAAGAAAATGAGACGTAACCGTTTCAAATGGGGGCCTGCGTCCCAGCAAATCCTGTACCAGGCCTATGAACGCCAGAAGAACCCCAGCAAGGAGGAGAGGGAAGCTTTGGTAGAAGAGTGCAACAGGTAGATAAACATGACACCTTCCTCCACCGTCTTTGAAAAATGTCCCCCAAACAAAAACCAACCCCAATTTTTCACCCTGTTCATCTGTTTCCTGCAGAGCCGAGTGTCTTCAGAGAGGCGTCTCCCCCTCCAAAGCTCAGGGCCTCGGCTCTAATCTGGTCACTGAAGTGCGGGTATATAACTGGTTTGCCAACCGGCGTAAGGAGGAAGCCTTCAGGCAGAAGTTGGCAATGGATGCCATCACCGTACCGCCCCACCCCCTCATCATGAACCCTCTGCTGTCCCACAACTCGCCACATCATCCCCAGACCAGCATTTCACCTCCCAGTAAGATGCCAAGTGGCATTGCTTTGCATGCAGTTCAGCATCACAGAGAGCAAACATGTGTCATGCTGACAGATTTTTCTTTAAAAGAGTAGTCCACCCATTTAAGGTTGGACTCTAACACCGTCGGACAGAAAATACTCAAAATGAATACAGCAACGCGAGATATTGTCTTTTTTATTCCACACATTCTTTGTCTTTATCAAAACCCGGCGCCTACATCAGACTTTGATGTGTAAAATCGGTGGAGTTACGCTTTAAATGTTATGTGTGCAGATTCATCATTGATGTTGAAAGATTTCACGTGACCACACACCGCATTACATTTTCGGCGTTTACGCCTACATTTTCGGTAATAGCGCAAAGCAGCCATTTTCTTCGACGTGAAAATACTAAGCGCAGTTGATGTGATCAGAGAGGCAGAGAAAGAGGGGACAAGTGATCAATGAGCGTGAGTGAGTGAGCTGAGCAAATGCCATTGTTATTCTGATCTTTGAAAACACACTGAGAACAATCCACATTGTACCTGCAATCTCCACTCCAAAGTCAGCATGGAGGAGCATGACACAAAGGGCAGCAATCCTGTGACAGGCCAGGGTCAGGCCAGGGTCAGGGAGGGGGGGACAGACACATCCAGGTTACCTCGACATGACGCCGTCGTTTCCACATTTCCTCCTCCCATGCAGGTTGCTAATGACATCGCTCAGAGAGTCTCCAAAACAAGGAAAGGCCGTGTGTTATTGCTCCGACCATTTCACCATAACCTGATGTTTGCATTTGCAGTAATTGGTATTGACTAAGTCTACCTGGCGTATACGACATAAAAACAAAGCTGATAGGCCTCGCAGAGCATTATCCTCCGTGCCATCACTCACCCGCCATAAAACTGTGATTTGAGAGTCTCGCTCAGAGCCTATTGTTGTCCTCTCGTGTTCGAACACGAGCAAGCTTTGAAGGGAAAACAAACTGTTTGCCTTGCCTTGCTCTTTTACCTTTGGTGATTGTCTGTTTGCTTGAGGTTTTTTTTTTTTGTCTTGTTGTTGCTCAGAACACCTGACCAGGCATTGACCTCAGGTTGCCAAGCCAGAGGGTCAGCGATGAGGTTGCAGAAGGGAAGGGTCGGTGCGTGGTGGAAAACAGTTTGCTCTCCCCACAAAAAAGCCCCTCAGCTGGCTGCTTACATGGTGTCCTGCTGGCATCCTGCCGACAGCATCAGCTGTTTTTCAGTGTCAGACTCTGGCCTGACAATAATATCCCAGCAGGGCGTCTCATTGCGTTGCTAGGGCACGGCCTGTATTATGCATGCTTAATGGACAATTAAAATCCTTTGCTACTACATCTCCTAGGCCTTTGATAAGGGGCTCCTCTGACTTCTACTCTCTATACTCTGCCTCAGCAGGAGGTCCCATTGTCTGTGGTGTATTAGAAGACTGCAGTGACTGTAACCTAGGTTCATTTATCTCTGCTGGGCCTTGGGGAGGACTGATTTTAAAGCCTCCCCCCTCATCTTTATGGGCATTGGCATAGTTGCTGAGGCTGGGTGCAGACTTGGAGCAGCATGAGCTGTCCACTGGGGTATAGGCCCTTTTCTGGCCAGACAGGACTGATGACCCCTTCTTCGCCTAGAGAGAAACCGAGTCAATCCCCCCTCTCTAAACTGTCGCCACACCTTCAGTCATACGAGAGAGGTCACCGCTGGGTCGGATCAAAGGAACTCCTCTTACTTTGGGAGTTTTTATTGATTCTGTTTCAGTTCGTTGATCAGTCGGTCACAACTGGACAGACAGTCAAACAGTGTGACGTGCAGTTTTGGTGGTGAACTTTTTTAATTTCAGAAATGAAACTGAACTCAGGCAGATTACATCGTTTGTCAGAAGGCGTATGTGTGCACGCACCTGTGTTTTCCCATGTAATATTTACCTGCTTTTCATCCGCTGACAACGTTTACTGAGCTCAAGTAATTCATCTTATTTACGGCATTTTACTTTGAAGCATTAACCTCTGCTAGTTAGTTAATGTCATAGATATGCAGACTAAATCAAAATATATATATATATATAATAACTGTATAATGATAGATTTTCTCATGAATTTAATAATTACAATAATAATTATGCATTTAACATAATAAAATAATCTAAAGAAAAGGTTGTTTGCGGTAGTGGGAAGTGAGTAAGTACATTTACGCTAGTACTTATTTGAGTATTTTCATTGTATTTTAACCTATACATTTACTCCTCTACAAAGGTAAATATTGTTATTTAAACGTAATTTGTGTTTAATAGCTGAGACAAGATTTTACCTAAAAAAACACAGAATAATCTTACAAAATACCGTTAAGGATTAAACGCTTCTTTCCAAATCTAACAAAAATCTGTCTAGTTGGGGCCCCTTGTCAGTTTTTTCAGATGTCAAGTTGTGAGCTGCTCCACCAAAGAGATATCCCCTCGCTAGCTCATGGCCGCCGCTCTGCCCTGCTCTCATTTGGTGGTTACAGCTGATAACGGCGTCCCGACAGGCGTTACAGAAGTGTAGTGCCCGCCCTCCGATTGCCCTGGAGCCGATCCCAGCTGACACAGTCTCATAATTTAAAATATTACTTCTGTCACAGGGGCCGCTTTTCTGCTTGACAAGTACTTTTAGTTTTGATTCTTTAAGTACATTTTACTTATACTTATGTACTTTTACTTGCATAGGATTCTGAATGCAAGAGTTTAACTTGTGATGGAGTATTTTTAGATTAGTACTTCTTGCAGCACTGATAGTTCAGCAGCTGAAGTCACCATAAAATAGAATCATTACTGAGCTGCATCATTCGGCACATTACAAAACTAGCAGACTCAGAAGTTCCTGATCAGACACAGCAGTGGGGGGGATTATCCGTGGGTTGTGTCGCTTTCCGTCACCTCAGGCTAGCTTGAAACAAGACACACACACAAACTGACACAGAAAATAATGGCCTAGCTCTGCACTTTCCACTGCTCTGTGACTGCCAGAGAGCCACAAAGAAAGACTGGATACGTCCTGCAGAGACCCAGGAGGTCTGTCATATGCAGCGGCACTACAATGAGCACTGCCTGGGGTTGGGGAGGCAGGCTTTGATATAACATGGGTCACACAGGGAGCTAGGGCCTTTAAAACCTGCTGAAGATCCTTGCTACCACTCCCCCTCTGAAGTTCTCGCCCTCCCCCCTGCTCTCGAAAAAGACGCCTCAGTGTTTCTTGGATTGTCCCATCTTGTCAAAGCAAATCTGTAGTTTTACAGAAACTAAAGTGTGTCTCTAAAAAACTTGCTTTCTAATGTTTCTTAGTTCAGATTGTGAAAGTCGTTTTTACTTATTCCGAGGCTCCGTGCAGCTGGATTACTGCCGAAACCAAAGAAACAAAACTGGCCTGAATAGCATCCTTTTCTGTGTCTGACACTTTAAGAGGTCGTCCAGCTCCGAGATAACTGCCTTTTTATGAGTCCTCCTCTATTGTGTGGCAATGGGGGTCATGAGTCCAATGGAGTGCTTTATTGTTCTGTGGCAGTGTTTACAAGGCATGGTGGAGTGTTGTGGGGTTGCTAGAAGGTTGCAGAAGACAATATGAAGTCTGTGGTCTGAACAAAATGGAGGATAGGTACTTTAGAGGATGAAATATAGCGCTGTGGCTTCAGACATCGCGGTATCTGTATTTTCAGTGTCTGTAGTCAAAGGAATAGTTCAACAGTATGGGAAATACGCTTGTTTGCCATCTTGCTAAGAGCTAACTCTCAGCTTGTATGTCCGAAAATGTCAAAGTATTGCTTTAAATGTGCGGAATCCTATGCAAGATTATTACAATAACTGCTGTGACGTATTATGCGTTGATATACATGAATCTGTACGAGTTCCAACAGCAGGATTTCAGGATAACAAAAAGATTTGTGTTCCCTGGCACCTGAAGCAAACTGTCAGATCTGCAAACACATTCTGCAGCAACAAGAAAACAATGTCACCCTTATTGGTCACATTTAGTGTCAGTGCCTCTCCCTCCCTTTTATCTGAAAATGGCTGCATATCAATGCATCCTTACATGTCTGACCGACTTCGACAGGCCGTTCAGGCTGTCACACCTGGGTCAGGGACGAAAGGCTCGGGGAAGAAGGGAGATCTGAGCGCAAACACAGTCTGTCTCTACGCTGTCACTGAGGGAGGGACGCTCTCTGTGTCTGTGTGGGGCTGAGACCACAGGATAAGAATGTGTTTGACATTGCTTGTAATTGTGTAATGTTTACTCTGTTGGTATCAGAGGGGGCCTGCATCGGCAAACAGGCATTGGATTGTCGGTTGTGGTGGGGTGAAGCATTCCTTTGGGCCTCCAGTGAGAGACAACAAGAAGTCTAGACACAGGATTAAGTGATGGCACGAAAAGAAGAATTTCATTTTCATTGAAACCTCACTGTGGAGATGTAAAAATAACACAAAACGTACATTTACTTGAGCACTGTACGTAGAATTTTTTTTAATCTTCCACTTTATCGTTCTAGTCTACCACTACTTTTTTTTCTAATAGTTTCTAGTATTTCTTTTCTCTTAAAATGTAAAAGATTTTACATTAAAAGAAAAATATGATAAGTTTACAAAATACCCCTCTGAGATTATTTTTAGGCTGAAAAAGGTACAATTATCCAATATTTCACAAAAGAATCAAAGATTAGAGAAATTTATTTTGCAGAACTTTTTTTTTGCCGTCATCTCCCTCTCACATTTATCTTGTGACCTTTTGGAGGGAGTGCGACCCCTACGTTAGAAATCACTGAACTAAACTAACAAACTGTACATAAAGTAGTTCAAACTAGCTCCACCTCAAGCAGCTACAACAGTACAATGCTGCTTACACATTGATGCATCAGTATTACCAATCTGACAATGTCATATATAATATAACACACATAAGAACTACTTCAACACATTTTGTGGAAACACTGGAAATACCTTATTTATTTAATTGTTTGCAGGACTTACATCATCTAATTGGTACTTTTTGCTTAAGTAAAGGATCTGAGTACTTCTGGTGAAACTTCACACTGACGCAATTAAGAACACCATTAGTAGCATTTGTGTGCTGATCAGAGAGTCTGATGGGAGTTCTGTTGTGAGCGAGTGAACGCGGTGAATGGCCTTGGCTGAGCTACGCAGATAGCAGCAGACGGGTCACTGTGTTTGTTTGCTCTGGCCTCCCCCGTCTGCGTCAAAGAGCAGGTAGATTGGAGTGACAGCAGTGTTTGTCAGCACAGAATGAGGCCTGCGCTGCTATCTCTCCGCTCTACATAACTGTTATAGTTGTAGGACACAACAGCTGTTATAGTTGTAGGATGCGACAAGTGAAACTAACTTTCTCTCTCTCTCTCTCTCTCTCTCTCTCTCTCTCTCTCAGTGCGTTACAGCCAAGGCCCCGGTGAGGTTACCTCCTCCACGACCATCAGCCACCACAGCAGCAACCCGATGGTGACCAGCCAGTCGGTGCTCCAGCAGGTGTCTCCGGGAGGATTGGACCACAGCCACAGTCTGCTGTCACCTGACGCCAAGATGGTGAGTGAACACACCTGGGCCCTCATGGCCTCAGATTAGATAAGGCCCGGCCTGCGTTTAGCATAAACGTACAAAGCAGGTTCCTGAACCTCTTCTCCCATGGACCCACGGCCAAGAGCCAACAATTAGCACATTGTGCTGCTCTGTTTGAAAGGTGGAGCTGGGGTGGCAGGCCACGGCTGGACTAGCACACAGCCTTCACCAGACCAGAGTGTGCAGGCATCAGCCAATAAATCGGACAAAGAAACATTCTTTTCTTATTGATTAAATGCCTCGCAAAGAGGAGCCACGGGTGGAGCCCTGCTTGTTCTGCCAGAGAAATGACGCCAACATTTGATTATACCCAATGTGCTCTTTTTGTTTGTGTCTACTTCAGAGTTTCTCCCTTCTGCCCTAGTCCAATATTTGATCAGTGACAAGGAAACCTGTGCACTGGTCCATAGCGTTTGAGTCATGGTGCAACAAAACTTTTGAGATGTGTGATTTACCGTCAAAATATAATATTTTTCTTTGGACCAAAATTTAATTGCCATACAACCATAAGTTCTACCATTTGAACTACTTATCTTGTTCAGGGTCACATAAAATATAATGTCATGTAACTGAAGTTCAATAACTTCCCTGTCAGATCAAAATACTTCTGTCTTTTGGAGCGACACTAAGTGAAATGACCACAGGCTGTGTATTTTACAGCAGGTCAGAGCTGACAGTATCTTATTTGCAGATGTGTGTTTGGCCGGTCTGTCATTTTTGGGCAGCTGGCGGTAGTCAAATAGTCGCTGCCCCGCCGAGTGGGAGGATCCAGATAGCTATTACTGCAAATGCATAGATGTTGTTTTTTGCAAATATTCACGTAATCATTCACATGAACCAACACGCAGGTGTACAGACACTGTCACTGTGCTACAAAAACTCATGCATATTCTTCTGCTGACATTTCTAGGAATGATTATTTTTCTTCTTGACCTTTTGTTTCTTATCAGTATTTGCTTGTGTGCTGTGTGTGAGTGGAGTTACACAAGTACAGTGTCGTACAAAAGAATCTGAACTAAGTCAACATTTATGTCTGTTGATTGTTTAGCTGCCAACATCTGTTTCACTTTGAAAACACATTTATGTGAATTTACATAGCAGACACTCATAACTTTAAGTGGGGTAGTTTGTCATAAAACATTACAGCAATAAATTGGAACTCTAATTGTATCGATTTCTTTCATCTTTCCCCAGATTTCAGGTTCAGGCGGAGGTCTTCCCCCGGTCAGCACACTGACCAACATCCACAGTTCCCATCACAGCCATCAGCAGACACAGAACCTCATCATGCCTCTATCTGGAGTCATGGCCATAACACAGAGTAAGTCTTCAATCAAGAAGTGGAAGTCTTTGAATTGATTCCATCACGGCATGTTTTGACTGAGGTTTCGCTCTGTCTCACTAGGTTTAAACTCATCGCAATCTCAGACGGTGCCAGTGATCAACAGCGTGGCGGGCAGCCTAGCGGCGCTGCAGCCGGTGCAGTTTTCCCATCAGCTCCACAGCCCCCACCAGCAGAGCCTGATGCAGCAGTCCCCCAGCCACATGAGTCAGCAGCCGTTCATGGCTACTGTCACACACTCGCACAGTCAGTAACACTCATTTGTTCTCTCATCATCTTTGGATGCAAGCCTCTAGTGTGTTATCTTGGGGACCCTTTAAGAAGGGGTACGATTCCCATATTGGGAACCAGTGTGTAAAATAAAGCATAAAAAACAACCTAATTAATAGTTATTAATGTTCTCACCCAAATTCCATTTTGGTGTCATACATTGACACATGATTTCCAAACTCTCTCAATTCTTAAAACAGAAAAAGAAAGAGGCTCCACTCACTAGATACAAATACAGGTTGCACTCATACCACATTTTGGATTAAATCATACTTCTCTTGTTCCTTTAGTATCTGCAGTTGCTTTAAACCTGATATCAACCTTGAAACTTGGTACTTTTAAAAAACAAAATCCATGTACAAGTGTTTAATTCTTATCTATCTCGTATCTGTCTGACTTTCCTTTGCAGTGTATCCTCACAAGCAAGAGCCACCGCAATATTCCCACCCGTCACGTTTCCCCTCGGCCATGGTCGTCACAGACGGCAACAGCCTCAGCACCCTCAGCACCCTCAGCTCCATGTCCTCAAACAAGACGGTCAGAGGCCTCAGTTAGATGCATGTTCTCACCTCTGCCTGCCTGCTACTGTGAAAGTCTGTGATCAGTGTCGGGTAATCTGCATGAGAATCAGCAGTAAATCTGAGATGTTTTTGCAGTTTTTGGTGTAATTCATTTTGCAACGTACAGAATTATCCTTTCATCAAATCTCTCTTTTGTAAAAAAGTGCTGTAACACTTGATTAGCTCACGCATCACCTATTGATACACAGAAATCACCCTCACCCTGTACTGATAGAGAGAAACTACACAGTCGAAAAAAGCACACACAGTAGCAGGAACTAAATAATGACAGGGAGAAGTGTGTGCGTTATGATTGTGTGTTGACCTGCTTAATTCCTGTCACATTAGGACGGTACTGTAAACAAGATGGTGCAACTCGGGGGCCTCTCTTGGGTAAATATAATTGCATCTGTTCTGTCACACATTTTAAATGAGTAAAATGACCAAATACTTTAAGTAGCCCTGCACACTGCTTGTTCTACTGTTGGGGCTGTTGCTGATGTTCAAATGCTTTCATTTGCCTCCAAACTAATAGACGAGGTAGATATATGGAAAGTATACTCCTCAGAATTCCTATTTCCTCTTAAACAGACGTCTAATCAATCACCTGCTCCCTCAGCCCGAACACCTCCTGATTAATGCTGCCTCCTTTCACTTTCATCTCCCTGCTGAGAGTTACCTCTGCGATCAGGAAATGAGCCCCGCTGTTAATCAAAGTTCTCAAGCCTGGTGCGCTGCTACTTTCCTCCATGCTACAGTGAGGCTGGAGATGAGATGGGGGTGGTGGGGTAATTACACCTCTTCCTCTTTCCTACTTCTCCCTGCTCTCAGTGATCGCTCTAGCCTGAAATGTTGTCCATGGTGCTTTCACACGCTCAATTTCCCACGCTGAGGCAGAGTACTCGTACCGCCGCGCTACTGACCGACAGATGGGATGATGGGACGATCGCTCAGAGCGGTGCATCCTCAGTGGAGGAAGGAAGTAAAACAAAACTCTCTGAGGCTTCGAAATATAGATGCATTTTGGTCAGGGTGTTGCTCTTTCGACGGGGTCAATCAGATATTTATTGATACACTGTTGCAAAACAATTCATGTGTATGCTGTAATAAACGCTGTACCCAATGGTGGAAGAAGTATTTTTAAATCCTTTACCTGTGTAAAAAAACCACAAGGTATGAATTCTCCAGACTGAATATTCACATATTAGGATTTATAAATTCTAAATGGCTTCACACGTTTGATGATAGATCTCCATTGTGATAACATACCCAAGGAATACTTCAATACTTCAAATATTGTAGAATTACACAGATGGAGTGTTTAGATATTTGATGGATCGTTAATGAAACAAATCTAATTCATGTTAATTAAAGATTGACCTGACAAGAGGATTAACAGAAGGCAAAAAAGTTGGGAACCACTGGTTTAACAATTAACAATTCTTTTTCATTTGATTATGTCAATTAAAGTTTTAAAAACATTAGAAAAACAGTGTAAATGCCTGTGGTGACTTCATCAAATGTTTTGTATTGTCTGGCCAGCAGTCCAAAACCCAAAATTTACTTTAAAATGCTACCAAGAAAAGCAGCACATTTTCACATTTGTTAAGCGCAAGTACCTCAAAATTGTGCTTAGGTGCAGTACTTGAGAAGATGTACTGGTGGTTTCTTTCCACCACTGGCAGCATCACACTGTGGCATTTCACAAACACATTTATTTAGAGAGCAATTAGCTAGTAGGCCCTCCCAGGTATTTTCTTATCAGGACTTTATTTGGATGGGGCAGCCTTCTTCCCGTGACACGACTAGCACGCTCAGGCTTTATAACGATCATTGTTTACCGAGAACCCTCCATTATACCTGCGGCTGTTTCAGCCTCACCTCGGCTCAGAGCCGGCGTCTAATGACTCAAGTCCTACCCTGCGGGTCATCTTTATCAGGTGAAGCTGTTTGCTGGCCGCAGGGTCACACCAGGGTCACCTGCCTCCACCCCTGAAGAGGCAGGTGGAAAAATAAATTCCACAAACAATCCAAAAAAACAGAGCATTTCAATGGAAACAAGGCTTTTGAGAGTCGGGAGAAAGAGGGATGAGGAATGTATTTGGTCAGGTGTGGCACATGAAGGTGCAGGGATGATGTGTTTACCAGTGGTGGAAGAAGTATTTGAATCGTTTACTTAAGTAAAAGTACCACACTATAAAAATACTCCATTGCATGTAAAAGTCCTGCATTCCTAATTTTACTTCAGCAACGCATTGTACTGACTGTACCTAAAGTAGGAAAAGGAAACATACATCCTGTCCATGTAATATTATTGATGTAAATGGCACTTTAACATTATAGTTTGGTCACGGTGGAGCTAATTCTAAAAACTGCATCATAGTTTAACCTATAATAATGCATCATATAAATATCATATCAAAAACATATCATTTATAAAATGATATGTTTTGTACAATCTTCAACTGAAAAGCAACAATAGCTGTAAAATAAATGTAGTGGATTAAAAAGTGTAATAAAAATGTTATGGCGTGGAAGTATAAAGTAGCATAAAATGGAAAAACTCAAGTATAAGTACCTCAAAGCTGTACTGAGTTACTTCCCACTACTGGTATTAACGTAGGTTTAATTCGTCACTTTCAGGAAGCCTTGATGCACTTTGTACATAGGCTACCTGTGTTACTGGACAGATTGTATTTATTGTTTTATGTAACGCACGTCTACTTCGTCTCACATTTCTCTCCTTCTCCTTTCAGTGTCCTCTTCAAGCTTGGTGAGAGCGTCCACCTGACTTCCTCGGTGCCCAGCAACGGGAGCACATTTTTCCACCCTCTCACCGCGGTAACCACGACAACTCTTAATAACCGGCAACGCCGCGCTGGATGACGAGTCGGTCAACAAAACTGGAGGAGCGGCGACGACGGTGGGCCAAGCGGTGAAAATGAGAAACGGGGACAGAGGGGGAGAAAAACAAAAACTCGCTGCACCTGACAGTGAGGAGACTGGATTCCCCCTCTGTCGCACACACATGATCAACAGAGATGATTTTAACACAAGCTTTGAAAACAAACAGTATTCAGTTTTTTATGCCACCCGTCATCCTCTTTTTCTGACATTACAATGGAACAAAAACCAAGCACCCAAATATGGCTCACAGACTGTGGTGGCACAGACTTGAATGAAGGCTCTGGGACAACTTATATTACTCTGTGATTTAAGGTGGGAACATGAAGACACCCTGAAACTTAACAGAGACAGTGATTAGCCTCTGTGAAGGCTGAAAGACTCACAACAAGTTCCTGGATGCCAAAACAAATTGTCTTGCACGTGAGCAGAACTGTGTGACAATCACAATAACCACGTATTGATCTTGCGCGTGCATTTGACATTCTCACTGGGCCTTAAAGAAGTCTTCCATATTATTCTTTCACACACAGCTTTACTGTGCTAGCATTAGTGCAGGTGATTAATGCGAGGGATTCATCCTTTCAGGAGTTGTTCAATGTGTATACTGTGATTGAAAAGACTTTGACAATCTTAAAAAGGACTATGCAATGCGTCCAAAAGGTGTACGCAATTCTTTGTATAACGGAGTCTGCACAGAACTCCACACACTTGAGACTGGAAATGAATTATGCACTATCAGCGAAGTCACCAACAATTAGCCCGTAGCATACAGTACATACTGTATGCTGGAGTTGCTGTTGATGAAGCTGCCTGTAACATAACAGAAGCAGATGGATGAATGTGTGACAAATATGCCAAAGAATAAGAGTCAGCCAGCAAAGTCTGTGGTGGGAGGACTGACTCACACACTCTAACTGGTGCCCTTCCCCTCCGTGTTGTTTGCACACACAGGTTCAGGTGAATTTCAGGAATGGGACTCACCCGCCCTCTCCTCCTCCCACTTCCTGCCTCAATGTGAAGAGATACCAAATTGGACAAATATTGTTAATAACTCCTCATCATACACCAGGACCCCCCCACCCCCCCCCCCCCCCCCCCCCCCCCCCCCCAGGGTTAGAATGGAAATATTGACTGTATTCTGAAACAAAACAGTCAAATTAGTCTGGTATTTTGTGAAGGAGAGAGACATGACAGAGGGCAGTGTTGTGACAGCAGCTGCTCTAATCATACAGGAATCCACAGAGATTGGGAAATGTTGTGGAGAGGAGCAGCCGCTGTGGGTACAGACGCCCACGCTAACTGTACCAAAGTGTGTTTGGGCGGAGGCGAACTTACTTCACCGCGAACGGGCCATTTGTGTTTGTTGGCCCACAAACAGCGAAGGTAATGTACGAAGTGTACAGACTGTGTGTACAGGCTGTTAGGTAGCTAAGTTCTGTCCGAACACACAGTTCAGTTTAGCGAATGTTAACTTAGCTGGACAATGATGAGGAAAGGTAGAGATTGGGACCAAATTTGGCATCAAGAATCACTATTACTGCGTATCATAAGTGTGTCACATCCAGTCTCCGGTTCAATATTAGGTCATTACATTTGTTATTATTTTGGTCGGTTGGTTTGTGTGTTATTATGGGCACATATACTGCCATCTGATCAGAGGGCACTCACACTTGTGTGACAGGATATGATTTTTTTCTCCTCCTAATGTATTATTTTTGTATAAAAATTTAAATCAATCATAAATCATTATTTATACTTTCTGAGAAAATGTTGATATTTCAAGTAAAAGTTTTTTTTTTCAAAAAGAATACATGGTTTGGGTTATTTTGTGTACAAAAAATGCTCTTGCTGTAATATTACTATTATTATGCTCAGTCTAACTATTTGATATACTGTTGGGATGTTTTATAATACATTTATAAGAATTTTCCATCTTTTTTTATCATATTAAACATATTTGGAATTTTATCTTACAATATATTTCCAACTTATGTAAAATCTTGATCTGCAAAGTAACTTGTAGCCTAGCTCATAGCTCTGAGATACATGTAGTGGAGAAATATTTTCCCCTGAAATGTAGTGGAGCAGAAGTTTAAAGTAACATAAAATGGAAGTACCTCAAATGTGTACTTAAATGCAGTGCTTGAGCTACTTTCCACATCTACAAAATGTTTATAACGTCTACAAAGACGCTGTGGTGTTGCTGCGCGATAAGACAAACAGCCTCTTTGAAGTTCATAGATCTAAAGTGCACATTACATTTCAAGCAACAAGTTCAGTGAACCCAACACGTTGATAGCACAATTCATTTGAGCCTTTATCTGGTTCTGACAGAGCCCACTGTAAAAAATATAATTGGTGTCATTATAGTTCTTGTAATGACAAGAAACACACCTTCATTTTAAGCGGTTAATCTTTCTGTAATATCTGCATATGAAGTGTGCTATAAATTTTAAGACTCTTAAGCCTGTTCTGCATACAAAAAAACATGTTACAGCCATTTTAAAGATATTCGCTTTAATAATAATGTTTGCATCATGTTAAAAAAAGTGACCACTTTAAAACGAATGACTTATATCACTTGGGAATCCCTTAACTCTGCTTTTCTATCCCCGCGTTGACCTGCAGCCTCCATCATGGAGCCCTGCTGTTTGAAGCCTTGTAATCCACTGATGTTGCTCTATTTGGTTTTCAATGAGGCCTTTGATTTTCAGACCCAGGAGGCCTCTAAAGATCTGACCATGTCTCTTTTTCTCTTTTCTCTAAAAGAAACTGAAATACTGAAAGGCTCATTAGCATCTGTTTGAGTTTGAAATACAACACTGAACTCTCTAAACATGCCATTTAATTCTGCCCTGAATTGGAGTGTGAATACAAGCTCGATTCATTGACACATTCTTGGACGACTGTTAGAAATGTGCTCCAGACTTTTGTGGCTTTAAACACGGTTTATATTTGCTGACCCAGCAGTGATTAGCTTGTTGTATTGTTTTACCTCCCTTGTGCTTCATTGTAAGTCTTGTTATTTGAGGGATGAGCTTATGCTTATTGATCAAGAAACATTGTAGGTCATTTTTTTATGGATTTTATTACCTTACAGCTAACTTTCTATGAAATACAATCAACGATTTATTTGATCATCTCAGCCATCCAATGTTCTGATTATACATGATCAACTTAAAGATGGACACCTTTTTTTTTAAATCGTTGATGTCCATCTCAATACAGATCGATTATATTCAGTGTTTTTTCATTTATTGCACACGCTGAATATTAAAGTAATTACAGCACAAGGTTAAGGTTATAACTAGCTGCCACATGCTATTTTGAAACAACTAATTAGACAATTCATTTCTGGGGAAAATAATGTCTTCAGTGTGTTATCTACTCTTTATTGCTCGTCTTTCAGCGGGGGGCTATAATCATTTAGGAATACCAGCCAACAGCAATAACGTGGCTTAACAAGAGGAAATAATAAACACATTACACATTGCTAATAGAAGTATGGTTTCATTATTACAATTGTTTAATAATCATTATAGTTTGGGTAAGTTTGGGAATATTTTTGACAACTAAACTGAATGTAAAAAAATGTCTTGTCACAGTTAACAGGCCAAAGTAAATATTACCATAAAACATTTAATACAAATGACTTACTCAATTTTTGATCAGCATGCAAAATTGTGAGGAGCAAAACAAAGTGATTAAACTCTAAAATATCATAATTAATTTGTCCGTATGCAGGGCTGCTGTCATCTTCCAGGAAGCTTCAGCCAGTCTTCAGGACATTCAGTTTTCAACTCCTCCATAGCTGTCTAATTCAGTGCTGCATCTGTCTGATCAAAGCACACAACTTCCAAGGAACAGAGGATCATTGACTCTCCCTTCACCTCTTGTAAGCCGACTGGCATGACTCCCAGGCAGCAGAGCGTAAAACAGGGAAGGTCATGACTCACGACTGATGCTTCCTCAACTTGAGCCAGACGAAGCTTATCTGAGCAAATGTTGTCAGTCAGAACATGATGTCTTCAAGAGAAGTTTGACTGCTGAAGTTTATCCCTTCACCTGTAATTCAAACTAGTTAATCAAATTTGAATGTAATATTTAGTTATTACCTCTGAACCTGCTCTGCACACATTTGCACTTGGGACAAGTTCAAGTTTCTTAATCAGCGTTAACACTACAAGACACATACTGTAAAACTTACTGCAATAAAATAATAAATACTGCTACTGCTATCAGCGACAGCGAGTATAAAATGCCACTAAAATGCAAGTTGTAATACTTTGGTATGGTGATATGGAAAGGATCTCAGGTGATTCCTATACACAAAGGTGACCTAAAAAACAATTGGCCTATGTCTGAGATGTCATATTGAGTGCAACAGGAATGAGTAAACCTTTCCAGGTTTTAGGACTCAGCATTTTTGCACTTGTGGTTCCCTTAGATGCCTTAAATAAGGTCTGTGTTTAACGCAAGCGTAAGAGATTTTAACATTTCGTTCTACAAAAAAAAGCTTTTACATGTCTTTAAAAAGGGGGTTGCTATCAATTTGCTAAATTAGACAACAAAACATCCTAGCCAAATGTTAGTTTTTTACTTCTGCTGATTGCATTCACGCTTAAAAAAAACATAAAAGTTGTGAAGAGTATCATGCTGAACAAAACATGTCAAAATGTATCATTAAGTTTGTTTGCCACAGAGCTCATTTTCTGCACTAATCAAAAATCCAATGGAAAAATACCATTGGCTTTTTGTCAAGGGAACCAGTGTGATGCTAACTTCCGGGTTGGCCTACAAAAAGACGTAATCCCTGATGTTAATGGAGGTGTACCAAAAGATCTGTGCAGTCGAGGACTCGAGAGGTCAACACGAGGAGCGAGATGACACCCGGGTAACAGAGGAGAGGGGCAAAGAGACAGAAAGTGGAAGCTGCATGGTGAATGTGGCCGTGTGTTTAGGAGAGCCAGAAGAAAGGCTACTACATCAACTCCAGCTGGGGTCCAAGGGGTTAATGGATAAGACTACCCAGCAGGGGTCAAGGGTCAGGAGGCCACTCTCTGCCAGGGCTAATTGGTCACTGCGACCAGAGTGAACGCCAACCTTTAAATGGAGAAATACATACACATGTATGGAGCTGCTCTGACAGAGGTCTTCCATCAAAAGCCCTCATCAAGGAGGCCTCTGTTGTGCTCTGCACAGTCATGGAGATCAGTCAGGCCTCCGTAGTAACAATCAGCACCCTTCACCGTACATCGCCACCAGCACCACCTACAGTGACAGCTAGGCTGGACGCGTGAAAAGATTGGTGGCTATTGATCTCGAGTTTTTTTTATTAAGTTCCATTGAGCTCATTAGCATTCACTTTTTCAAAGCATTAATATGAAGGATGTATGTGAGAAGTATTTTTGGTTTACCTTAATCTTTAGTCTATACTTTAATGGTTTTGAGCTTGTTTCATTGAAGAAAACCAATTTGAATCATTTCCACAATCACATTTTCAGACATTTGAGTCCACAACCAAATTCATAAACTGTTGAAATATTCATGATAATACTGAGAACTCAGAATAAATACTAAAGTAATAGTCCACCTTGACTTCTTTCCCAAGAGTTAACAAACTTAAAAACATAAACTTCAACACATAAAACCAAATTTTGATCATCTGCACACACCTGAATATTTCCGGGTTCTCTTAAATCATTATTTAACCAGTGAAAAGACAAATGGATCTCACTTTCCACTTCTCCCAAATCACGCAGCAAGCACAATCTTTTTTTCTCCAGGATAGTTTTTGCCAACTTCCATGGCCACAGGAGGAACACAGAAACAGTTCACAACTTTGACACTAAAGTTCTTTGGCTTCTATATAAGCGAGGTGACACATGATTCAGAGCCCTGTTTTTGTTCAGTATCCTTATATGTCCTTAATATTGTCTTAAAATAAAAACAATAAATATTATTGGAGTGTCTATTCAGCATGTAAAAACAAAACAAAAAGGGGTTACTCAATGAATTCATAACAATTAATTCCTAATAGTAAAGATTCAGTCTCCTCTCGTATTTCATCTACAACTTGAGCCAGCTGTCAGAGGCATGACCTCAGACTGTGATGGATCTCACACAGACCTTAAGAGCGTGTCATGTGCTTGATGCCAGATGTATCTACCCTTTAATGATCTTGTAAAATATTCAAATGTTTAGACGAAATTCACTTTGTCGCAATCCAAGCACTGGAGAAATGAGGCTTGTTTATGGTTCTCTATGTGGGATTTTACCTGAACGAAAGCATCTATAATGAACCAGCATTAAACTAAATATTAGGACCACATGAGGTGTTTCAGATGAGACTCTGCAGTCCTGAAGTGTAAATCTGTATTCACCAGAATGAGTTTAAATTTCCTCTATTTGCATCTGAGGCTGAAAATCTGCAGTTTAGAGGAATCCTGACGGATTGATGTTGTCATGCTGATGCTGTCACAGGCTTGATGCTGGACGGGTTAATGATTTATGGGGAATAGTGTGATGCCCAGAATGGGACCCGGGTTAATGTTCACCTTTCTCGCCAGACCTTCTCTCTGGGGGGCTGCCCACAGCCAGTCCACATCCAACACTGGAGGGGGACGTGACTGACTGACGGACTGACTGAGTCGGCCGGCCTCCAGCTAAACCCAGCACACACAGCAGGGAGGGACACCACGATCTGCTCTCAGAGAAGTGGAGGGGACAGGAGACTGACGAGGCCTAGTCGTCTTTTTAATGAGTTTAAATAGAAGCAATAAAGAGCAGCAGAAAATAATCCGAGCAGTTGTAATGAGCTCACATAAACAAACCAAAGCACACAGGTGATAATTCAAGTCGCCCTCTCCTCAAAACGTGAATGTTTGAGCGTCATTGTGTCGGATGATTTGACACCAGAAGGCTGTTTTCACATGTATCTAATGGAGAGGGACAGTTTCTCTCTGCCTACATCTCTGGTGGGCCAACCACAGCTGGGTGATGGAAAACACGTCACAAACTGTGCGTTGCTTGTGATTTTTCCCATAAACGTCGCCACCTACACCCAGTTTGTAATACTGCAAATGCAAAGGCTTTCATCAGTAGGCCATAGGCTCAATCAGCATTCTATTAACTCATTCGGCGATAGATCGTGACTTAATAGACATTTATTCAAATGAAAATCTTTGAGATTATTACTTCAAAAAATCATTCATTTTTTTCATACGACTGATCAATTTCTTTCTCGATGAACATTTGGTGGAGAATTTTTTAACCTTTCAAAGTTAATGATACTAAAGTCCAGAATTAGCCTCCAACTGCCAACATGTGTAAGTGTAGAGTATAAAATCAGGCCATTTAAAAAAACACAAAAACAAATCAATTTCCTATAGAGACAATACTGAGAACATATGTAGTTTGGTCCATATAAGCACCAAGTTTCAACACCAGACACAGCTCTTTATCAAATTGCTCATGTTGGACTAAAAATAGTGAAATGTGACTATACCTCGAGTCTGAACATAATGTAATCAGTCTGTAAAACACCTGCCATGACAAATGCTTTAAACTGTAAAATGGAGCCGCAAAATTCACAAAACAATTACCAAGGACACAAACTCAGTGTCCTCAATTATAGCTGCAGCTCTGTCCTGTGAGACTGACTGTGATGATGTAAAAGTGAAAGATGAAAGATGAAAAATAAATTAAATCCATAAGAAAAAACACTCTCCACACGGTCTTCATCATGTGCGTAAAGTACTGTAAAAACAACATTTTTCTCTCCAAGACCATCATCTTCATATGTGAAACTAAAACTGCTGTTTTTCTATGTGTCACTATGCAGCCTAAATGGCCACATTAGTCCCTCTGTCATGTATATGGACTCTGAATCTCTGCTGTTGAATAAAGCAGAGGTATAGGAAAGCGTGAGGGCCGACCAGGTGATGGATAACAGCCGGGCTTGTCATCGGCTGCCTTACACTGCTCTCATCAAGCTGTAAATCTTTCACAACAACAGCCGCTATAAGACAATGCCAGAGAGGCTTTTCCTTGTTGCTCCACCTTGTCATTGGTGTAACAATGAAATTGCCAAGTGAGTCACTCTGTCAATGGCCTCAATGCTTCAAGCAGCCGGTAAAAATGTTGGATGGACACATCAGGGGATGGACACATTAGGCGTGCAATACAGAACGCAATAAACACAAACTGTAAAAAGTCCAGATGTACAGAAATATTGGCTGTTCCCAATAAGTGGATGTAGTATAGCTAAACTCATGGTGAAGTGGGTCTGCAAAAAAATCACACTAAACCTTAATCGAAGCAGATGTCATTTCTTCAAAAAATACTGAATGTGCTAGGGTGAACTGGTGAACTGAAATGTTTTTATCTGTTGTTTTCTAACTCCATCTGCCGCGACAGGCAGAACCCAATTTTCCATAATCATGCTTCTTGTCCAGAATAACAAATGATAAGTCTTTCTAGACATACACTACCTATCCAGTGTCAGACTGTACACACTGCATACAGGTTTTATCATACAGAGCCCAGATCTTGTTTGTGTGGCTTTACGTGAAACAAAGCTGAAAACCAGTTTAACACTGACATCTGCTGGAAAATAACTTTTATTGCAGCTAAATCATAAGAGTTGTATTTGGGAATCTCGGGTCCTGTGTGCTGCCTCGCAGGAAGTCCAAAGGAGTATCAGTCCCTAATCTTTTCTATTATACTCAAACTCCACAATGGCTCGAGGTCACGTTCAGTTTGCCTTCTGCAGGGATAACATTGCAGGGATGATATTGTAAATAACAAACTTTTATCTACAGGAGAACAACTATTTGAATATTCAAAATTGATGCTTAAAAAAAAAAAATCACAAGAATGAGAAAGGAAATAAAACCCCCCCCCCCCCTCCAAAAAAACCCAACCTTTGCTGCTGAATAATTCCACAGGTATGGTAGGTAGAGCATGAGGGATCAGCATGGAGCAGGAAGCGAGCTGTGCCCGGGAGACCGTACTCGGGGCCTCACAGCCCTCGCGTCAGCCACCATCACTGCTGACGTCATCTCCTACTAGTGACTGCTGTTATCAAGATGGCGCTGCGGCCAGGATCAGGGGGAGGTGGCAGGTATTTATTTTAAAATCAACTCTCTCGCTCGAACGGGAACAACTTGTGAAATATCCACCCCTGAGTGCCTCTCAGCGACACGTTATTCTAACAGACGGGCCTCAAAGACAGCGATTACAAACAGGGTTTTGTTGTAGGAGATGATGAGATGGCTGGTTGTCAGGTGTCAGCTAACGTCAGCTAGCTGGTTGCTGCTGCCTGTCCATGCTCAAGAGTGGACCAAAACAATGCCTCAGTGTTCCTATATTAACACATGTCACGTCTCGTGTGACCGTTAGTGTGCACGCAGCTCACGGTGTCCAGTGTCCGGATATTTATCGAATACAAATCCTTATTACTCTCTTGTAACTTTAGCATTGTCAGGAGAATAGCTAGCACCTGTACAGACAGGCCTGTGCACGACCGATAATGTTACAATCTGGCCTCATCAACTTTGTTGGTATTACATGGTCTGCCAGGTAGGTAGGCTGTTTAGTATCATGTTGTTACATGGTTGAGTATTTAATAAAGTGAACCAGGAGGGAAGATCTAGCAAAGAGTAGCTAACCTTAAATTACAAGATACATAAGCTACTTGTGTTTTTTGTATTCATAATTATTTACTAAATTGCAAAGTATACCCTGTCACGCGTGTCTCTCATCTATATCCGGTTGATACATAGTTGTAGGAGATGTACAGGTGTCTTATCAGAGCAGTAGGATGAAGATACCTGCCTCATGATTCTTTCAAAGCTGAGCTCGAGCAGTTTGAATAATAAATGAACTCTGGGTTAGCCAGGTGATACTGATCTGACAGGTGAAACCAGAGCCCTCATGACTGTAAATGAGTGCAGTACAGGAAAAAAAGCAGGTGTAACGTGAAGACCTGGAGGTAATTGTAGTTCTCCTTTTATGTGTTGATCTGTCTGGTGGACAGTTACTGACCTGAGAAACATTAGCACAGAGCAGGAGGTAATGACTTAAAGTATTTAGTCAGACAGGAATGTGCCAGTAATAGTGACACGCAAAAGTGTGAGGGGGAAAAAGGGTGTTTGTGTGTGTTAGGCCGTTCAATGAATGAGCAGGACTGTCTTATTGCGGTGTTTAATTTTTAAAGGAGTTTTGTATTATTTGATGAAGGATCTTGACTTGTATCTTAGTTAATTTACTGGATTACTAAAAAACACATTCCTGTCAGGCTACGTTGTCCTTACTTTTCTCAGAAAAGTCACCGTATCATATATATACATTCATAAACATTAATGTATACGGTACCAGAGATAGTGGATTTCATCCATATTGGTCACTCCTAACCAGCACCACTTTTCACTGCTGCTAATAAGGCCTTCACTTTATTTGACAGGTGACTTTCTCTCACATCCATAAAGTCTTCATATTTCTAGCCGGGGGCATCTATCTGTAGCGTGTTCAAATCTGTTTCCATGTGAAGTATAATGGATAGAAGTGAAGGAATGAAGTTTTGGATTGTGTGAGTGCAGTTGTGTGTGTGTGTGTGTGTGTGTGTGTGTGAGTGTGTGTGTGTGACTGCCAGACATGATAATACAGCAGTAATAAATTACAATGTGTCAGGAGTGCCAGAGTGGAAAGCCAGGAGGTGGAGCAGTGGTGCAGCTTGTAAAATAAGCGTAGCAGCTCAGCTTGAGCAACATTTGTAGGTGTTTGGAGTAAATGTATCAATGACTGAATGAATGAAATAATGCGAAGCTGTTAAGTCAAAGATACAGTAGATGTATCTGTCAGTAGGCAGTCACAGAACAGCTTGATATCAGCTTCTATTTGTATTTGGCTCCATGCGTATTTCCTCAACAGGTCATGTGATTGTCAGACATTTGACTTCTTGACTGTCAAATGATGCTCTATTGTGCTTGTCGAGAGTATATTATTGTGGGGTGTGTTGACATTTCAAAGTTTGAATTATAACTAGAAATCTTCTCTGTCCGATCGTCAGTCTTGGAGAACTGGGTACATGACACTCTACGTCTGTATTTCCCTTTGAGGGAGCTCTCGTCAGACATTCTGCATATTCCACTGTGAGAGAAGCTGCAGAATAAGCTTGAATTCATTTTTCCTTTTAGCTTCCTCAGTAATGATGACATTGACTGAAACTCCTGACCCTGCCATCTGTTTGTCAGAAACAGTTTGATGATAGCTGTCGGATGATTGCGGGCCTTTTACAAGGTGCTGGCGTCCACAGCTGCTATCACTGCTTATCTCCTTCTGTGTTAATCTGCCCGGCCGTGACCCGTTATTTGCTGCAGGATGGTGGGCAGCAGCGCTGTAGCGCTCCTCTTAATGCTTTTAAGCTGCAAATCTTACAGGGAGCAGATGTGACTCTGAAACCTTCCAAGTCGAGCATCATCAGGCCTGTTGATTTATAACATGAAATCATATCAAAGGCTCATTCTGTGATGGCATTACTCCAGTCTCTCTTGAAAATGTCGCCCCCTTCATTTACACCTACATTGTTTTTTGGCCACATGGGGGAAGCAGTAACGAGCTACAAGCACAATACTCATGTAGCCATATTATCACGTTATAAAGTTGACTTCTTATGCAGTGGCCTGTTCACACATGCAAGAGACATGAAGCATCACTTTTGAGGTTTGTATCGACCTGATGAATGTGTGAGTTCTTTAATGTTTTTGTTAGTCTCCACCAACTCCTTAGGAAAACATCTGGCTCCTCTTTTGTTGTTTTCATCACTACAAGATTTAATCCATTGTTCATTTTGAAATATGTGTTTATTATTATATATCGGCTTTAAATCTTATTTATTAACTTGATATTATTTCTATATAATTACATTTTGCATGTACAATAGCGCTTAACTGATCAAAGATATTTTTTAGACCTGATTATTTAATTCTTTTAAGGGATTTAGTAGCAAAAAGACCAACATTTGTTGGTACCAGCTTCTCAAATATGTGTATTTGCTGCTCTTCTCTGTTTAATATCACTGTACATTTATTATCTATGGATTTTATATTGTTGGTCAGAAAAAACAAGTAATGCAAACACATTACAGCACCACTTTTCACTTTTTGTAGCAGTTTGTAGACTAAATCGATTAGTTAAAAAATAATTGATATAGAATACAATCGTTAGTTATAGCCCCAGATTTCATTGCTTACAAAAGCACATTTTCCATGTAGAAGTGGAACTCGGGTCTAAATTATTCCTTGATTGCCACAGGGAGTCGTTTATTGCTTTGGTAAATGCTTGACTGCCTGATGATGAGTTCCCGGCCTCTCTTTTGTTAGCACAGTTGTGTTGGTACTAAAGTTATCCGTATGATAAAGTCAACCATCGGATTAGTGATGCTTAGAGTCGGTCCGGGACACCAGAGGCTTGGCCGGCTCTTTCTTCTGTTTGTCTCTGCATCCTCAGCTCCAGCCTGAAGAACTGGGTTGTAATGCGTTATTTGACAAATAGCCTGTGGCCTGTGTGTGTGTTGGCTCCGGTGAGTAGAGACTTGGCCGACTTGTTTCTTAAAGGCCCAATTCTCAGCACAGACCCAGTGAGTCCAAGTCGCCTGTGGAAATGAAACTGCATCAATAATTCTGCCTTTTTGGGCATTAATGTTACATTTTTAAAGGATCAGTGTCTGAAAATTCCCCCTGGTCTTTGTGAATAAATGCTCATTGCTGATCAATGAATGCCAACAGCAAATCAATCAGACTTTGTACTACGATCCCACTCTAATGTAATGTCACAATTATGAAAAGCAATCAAGGCTTTTATTTATTGTTTAGTTGTGTCAAATGCATACGAATCCAACAACAATTACAGTGCAAGCAGGCGTTTGCCCAATGAAACCACATCCAATTAAATGATTTGAATTATTTGCTCGTTGACTCAAAGCAATCACCATATTTAGTCAAATACAGTTTCAAATGTCCTCCTCTTTAGTCTTTCACCTCCTACTGCTGTGTTATAAGTATTACACCATACCTATGGTATTATATAGCTGTATAGCAGCCACTAGCCTAGCTTTTAATGTATTGTTATACAGCATTTACAGGATAGGAGTTCTGTGATTTAGATTCATACTTTGCATTGTTCAAAGCTGCAGGCGACATGATGAGTGTTTGGAGCTCACCTAAAGGTGTTATCTGAAGGTTTCTTTACTCATGCCTCAGTTTGAATCTCATTACCTGCAATTCTGTTTGTTCTCTCACGTTAGTTTCATGTATCCTGTTGGAGGGGGCCTGGGACCGCCACAAGGTGAGTCATTCTGCAGTCAAATCCGTCAAAACAAACACAGACACTTTTCTCCGAGCTGTCACTGTAGTCACCAGAAAAATAGATTTGTTTGTTGCTGAGTCTTTTTCCAGCTGTCTAGGAAATTGATTTGCAACACTGAATCATGTCCAGTCTCTAGAGGCTCCAGTCCTGGATTGTATTAAGTCGTCTTCAGTGTACATTAAATTGGGCGTACTCGTGCTTGAAATAGTAATTAAAGACATTATTCTTTGCCGTGTCTACAGTATATGATAACGGTGTTTGTGTGTGTTTCTGCAGGCATGGTACCCATGCAGCAGCAGCAGCAGCAGCAACAACAACAGCAGGGCTTCCCTATGGTTCCGGTCATGCAACCGAACATGCAGGGCATGATGGGAATGAACTTTGGGGGACAGATGCCTGCAGGAGCGATGCCTATGCAGGTGAGCTTATTCTCTGTGTTTGTCTATTTGTTTGTTGTCTAAGGAGAAAGTTGTCCTCCTAATGTTTGATTAGAGATTTGTCGTCTGCATTTGTAGTGTTTTTAACGAACTTGCTGATGTTTGCTTTCATTCACGAATGCATACTGAAACCCTGCTGTGTAGATTTAACTGATTTCATTTCACATGGAGGCCTGGGCCTAGAGCTTATCTTACTGTCATTCTGAATTGCAATGCTTTCTCTCAGTGTGAGCATCTAATGTCATGTGCAAGAGTGTGACGAATGCTAATAGCATGTCTGAGCTGCTGTCTGTGTTATGTTTTTTGCATCTCTCAGGGTGGGATGGCTCTTGGTATGCAGACCCCTGGGATGCAGTTCTTGGGTCAGCCACAGTATATGAGTATGAGACCTGCTGGACCCCAGTACACTGCGGACATGCAGAAACAAATGGCCGAGGAGCACCAGTAAGACGTCTTTACAATAATATCATGCTTCTTGTTTGTTTGTAAGCATGAATGCTCACATCTGCATAGCCAGCTGAGTAACTAACACACTACATTATGTATGCCAAAGCATACAACCGAGAGGCAGTAATTCAGTCGACTTTTAAAATATGCTGATGATACAGATAAGTGCTCCCTGTCCACATACAGGCGGTATGTGGACACCATAGGTCTTCTTTTACCAACCCAATGAAGGATATTATGTCTCCATATAATGTCTCCTCTTCGTGGCCTTTAGAAAACGCCTGGAGCAGCAGCAGAAGATGCTGGAAGAGGACCGGAAAAGAAGACAGTTTGAGGAGCAGAAACAGAAGCTGAGGCTGCTCAGCAGTGTCAAACCCAAGGTGAGTGCTCGTTTTGCTTTTCTTATGGCATGTCGACTGCTGATCTTTGCAACCTTCTGGGCTCTTGATCCTGTATTACTGCGTACTCAGACGGCTGAGAAGAGCCGCGATGATGCCTTGGAGGCAATCAAAGGCAACCTGGATGGCTTCAGCAGAGACGCTAAGATGTACCCGAATCCGTCATCGCAGACCAAGAAGCCAGGTACCTTCACCCCGATGATTTCATCTGTAATCTCTGAGAGTTTTGTTCCTTTTGTTCCTCTCCATCAGCAGATCTCCGTCTGAGAATAACAGCTGGATTAGAGGCAGGTCAGCATGATGACTGCTCAGCTGGAGGCAGACAGATCACATTTCTTTTATCACATTATTGTTTCAGTCTCTCACATCTGTACAGCTGTCAGTCTATTGTCATTAAAACATTATTTTAACAAACATGGCCTGAAGCAATATTCCAGCCAACGTTCCCAACCCTAAAAGCATTTTATTCAATCTGAATATTTAATTAAATGCAAGATTTTGGTTGAATTTGCAGTTCTACAATTTCTGGTCTTGCACAATACAGTCTTTATCTCACTCCTGGAATTCATTCTCCATTGCAGTGTGTGTCATGTGTTGTGCCATCATCATTATTTCTTCATTTTTGCAGACTCATCGCCACCACATCCTTCTGTCCCCACTCGCTCCCTCCCCCCAGCTTTGTCCGAAGACAATGACGACTTTAGTGACTTTCACGGGCCTGTAGACGCCCCCTCCTCCTTCCCTCCGTCCTCCTCCACTTCCTCCGCCTCCGGCCTCTCCTCTCAGGCCCTCGTCCAGCCCTCGTCCACCGTGACAGGTTTCTCCCCGGACGATGACGAGTTTAGTGACTTTGTTCAGGGTCCCCTAAATGCGTTCCCTCCCTCCGACCAAGTCCAACCTTCCTCCCCTTCCCTGAAGGCAGGACTGTCCTCCTCTTCCTCTTCCCTCCCTCAGTCCCTTCCTGCCTCTGTGTCCATTTCCACTGTCACCCAACACTCTGCTGTCAACAACAGCTCCCAATCTACATGTCAAGGTAACTGTCTTTTTGCTTTGTTGACACCTCCCTGCCCATCCTCATAGTTTATACTCAACCATATACATTTTAAATGAATCTGGATGATTTTTTATTATAGTGCTTTTATTGCCGATGCTGAATATTTTTACTGGCACGTCTGGTTTTTTTTCGTTGGCCTTGGCCTGTGTTACAGTGTGAGAGCATGCAGCTAGCCCAGCAGCTAGCCTGGCTGTATTACCTAAACCCTCGAAGCTACCAGACACTACAAACTATAGGCAAACAAGGATGCAGCATCAATAAGAAACTCACCTTGCTTCGTCCTTAGAAAGTGAGAGTTTTAACCATATAGTAGCAGAATCCATCACTGATACCGAATCGGTTTGTGGTTTGATAGAAGACTGTCACACTCGTGTGTCATCCGCCGTCTAATCTCTCGTATGAGCAGCTGCTCCGTGACAGCTCTCAGTCTCTAGACTATGAATGACAGGACGGAGAGATGCAACACCAGCCCTCCGTTGAGTCCTCAGACTGTTCTGACCTAGTTGTTTGAGCATCTGGAATAAACAGTTTCAATGTCCTCAGGCTTGCATCGCTTACCTCTGACGACAGAGACCTTTTTCAATATATTTTAGGATTTTTTTATTTATTTTTTTCGATAATGTAGAATCGATTGCAGGTTGGATAATATATTTGACATGGTTAGTTAGTTCTGAAACAAAATGTACACAGTAGAAATACAGGATTAATACGCTGTATATTACTGAAGTAAATACAACTTCAACTGCTTTGTATAGTCGGTGTGTGTTATCAAGAGCTCTGTTCCTCATTCACCCCTCTAGGCCCGTCCCTGGAAGAGAAGCTATTCTCCTCATGCGATTTTTCTGCTGGTAGGACGGCACAGGTTAGCTTTAAATCCAAGCCGAGTTTGGCTAAAATGGGTCCTGGAACTAAAGTTTCAACCCAGTTTCACTCCAGCACTAAAGCGAGGGATTGGGCTGTGGCCCCTCAGGACTTGAGTTCGGTCTTCATTGCAGAAAAGCTACCTGAGGTCCCGGGGTCGGCACCCGGCGCCCCCCCATCAGCCGTTGACTCGTCTCCTCAAACCGGTAGTGACAGCGGTGAGAGACGTGCCTGTTTATTAGTCTTCATAGCTTCTTCTTCTCTCCCTTGCTTTGCTGCACACAATCAAGGCAGTACTTCTCTTTCTTTCTTTCCTGGGGAAATATTTCTACTCTTTCTAACAAACAACTCTGTACCTTTGGGGTCATAACTGGTTCATACCAGATTCTGGGCTGGTCATCGTACTAGTGTAGCCTCTGAAATAAAATTCTGCTCTTAATTTCCTTCGTCTCTTCGATCAAATGGAGTGGCGGTGTCTTTGAGGTATCCTCCCCGGTGTCTTTACACACTGCTCCTAAGCCAAATCTCTGCTCTTATATTTGCCCGCTTCATACCTCTGTCACCTCAGACCACATCTTGTTGAGAGGGGCTTCTCATGCTGCCGCTCTCTGCACACGTTGTGGGAATGGACCGTGTCTGTCGTGGTCCTGAGGTGACTCAATAAGCTGCTGTTTGTTCCCCTTCGCTATGTAACACCTTCTCAGAGAAACCATCTCTGGCGCATGCTGACTGCTATGGTTTAACAGGGACGCGCATGGATCGGCAGGTGCCACTGATGCCCGAACATAATTCGAGGCTGATTGTGCATGCCACTTAGCTACTCCTTTGTGCTTTTTTTTTTATTGGTTTGTCTGTGTCTGTGTCTTCCATGCCATCAAGGGAAATACAGAGGCTAATCATGGAGACCTGTGAGATTTGTAATAAGATTAATTTCATTGCCCGCTGATGGGAGTATTATGTGCAAAGCGGCTGCCTGAGTAAACACACGCCTTGTAGACTCAATAAGATGTCTTGAAAATTTGCCGTAGTTTAAAAAAATATATAGTTTATTTAGGTCAATGACGGCAGTTAAATTAGATTTCCAGCTTCTTCTGTTTTTTTTACAAGGCAGTCTCCTCTGTCCGCCCATCTTGAAGCCATAAATGTCTCATGTCTGACGGGGCCAGACTCTAGTGATTCAGTGCATGAGAGCATGACAATATGCACAGAGTCTTCCAGACATCAGATGTATAATTTTTTCGAGGCTTGGCAAATCGTATGCCTGGGCAAGTTATTTGCTACAACAACTAACTGTGTGTGTGTGTGTGTGTGTGTGTGTGTGTGTGTGTGTGTGTGTGTATGTATGCGTGCTTGTGACAGCAGGTGTTGGTGTGTACCCACAACAAGAGCACATTCCACCCATGCTGCCAGCCTGGCTTTACAATGACAGCCTCATCCCAGGTAAACATTTACACATGAATATGTCCAGTTTGATGCTGTATTTTGTATAAAGAAATTAAACTCTATAAATCTCCATAGCGATTGAGATTTGAGAGAATTTAACTCCATTTCTAGCATGTATGAATATTGTCCTTTCTGTTTGTCTTTCCTTAGAAATGTTCAAGAAGGTTCTTGAATTCACCATGACTCCGGCAGGGATAGACACAGCCAATCTCTACCCAATACTAATGTCATCAGGACTTCCCAGGGAAGCACTGGGGCAAATCTGGGCGTCGGCCAACCGCACAACACCTGGCATGCTGACCAAGGAGGAGCTCTACACTGTACTTGCACTAATTGGTGTGGCGCAGGTAAACGCTGGAGTCGCGACAAATGATCACCTTAGAACGACTTCACTAATCGTCATCCATGGCTCCCATAGAGGCTCGCCATCAAGTCCACACTGTAGTCAGACGGGCTTAGCTAGAAATGGGTAGAAAGAGGCAGCGCTGTGAATCAGCCCAGGGCTCGTGGTGCCGTGTATACGGCTCCATCAGTCCCCATCAGCCGTGTTTGGCAGGAGGCTTCTTATCATCCTTAGCCTGGGCCTGTAACCACCACTCCGCAGGGAGCTCACGAAACACTGCATGCCACCGCTTCCATGCAAGCATTAAGAACATTGGTGATGTAAATCATCAGGAGCTTTAAAATACAAGCACAATAAAGTGCAAACAAATGTTTCGTGAGGGTTTCCACAGTAGCTTCCTTAGTCAGTTCCCTAAAAATCTGTTTCCTTTGTTTCAGAGTGGCCTCCCAGCAATGAGTGTGGAAATTCTGAGTCAGTTCCCTTCTCCACCTGTGCCCAACCTGCCGGCCCTGGCTATGGCCATGGCCTCCGTCATGCCGCAGCACCAGCAGCCCATGATGACCAAGCCCCCTGTTTCCATGGCCATGCCCACATCAGCACCACCAGTTATGGGCATGACTACCGCAACGCAGGCTCAAGCGCCCACAAACACTAACTTCATAGCCAGTTTCCCTCCTGCACAGGTAACAACACCGTGCCTTCAGGTCTGCATTATCCATCAGTTGATCATAATTCACATCTTACTCACTAACGCGTTGTCGGCTCAGGGGCCCAAAGCCGATGACGATGACTTCCAGGATTTCCAGGAGGCTCCAAAGGCAGGAGCGGGAGACCAGTCCTTCACTGAGTTCCAGGGGGATTCAGGTGGAGGTTTCCCCACCACCCTCCCATCGCAGCACCAAAAAAGGTATTTCATTCTAGCTCACTTAATTAGCAATGTCTTGGTCAAAGTTGTATGATCCTAATGCTGAGTTTACATTACAAGAAATCAATTTCTTCAGCGTTCCTCGTTATTTCTTACACCTCACCAGTTCTACTTTTCTAAAGCAAAGATGTCGGTGTCTGTAGTGATGAGGGTCTAATATTTAGCCCCCGTTGGTTATTTATAGCTGAGCTATTCTGCATATAATATTTGTGTCTTCAGTCGTTTATCTTGGAAACCATAGAGTCAGACACTGTGTCTTATCATCTTGTAATAACCTCCCTAGAATAGCAATGAGTTTGGGTCATCTCTTAATGAGTTAATTTCAATGGACAGCAGATTGGCTCATTTCTTTGTATCACTTTCCAAGCTCGTTTTGAGAGACCGTCTTTTCACAGACAGGAAGCCGAAAAGCAATTATCCGTTAAAAGACAAAGGGAGAGCAGAGCTTAAGGCGTTTTATAATTCCTCCTGTTTCTCCCCTGAAAACATACACTTCTGACTGTTTCAGCAATGTAAGAAGAATTCCCCACAGTCTGATGTTGTCTAATTAATGAGAAGCTGAAAAGCTCGTGTTGGTTTAACGGCAGACATAGCTTGCTGTCACATGTGTTGCCAGTGATGCGTGATCCAATCAGCTACACTTTCAATGCAAAGCAAGGTTTATACACATGTACAGTGTTGTCTTTTGTATCTCACAGAGGCATCAGAACATAACACGAATAGTCATCATATAGACAAATACATTTATGTTTATTTTCATTATGGAAGGGACAATGCACATTAATTAACATGAGCACTTGAGTCCATCATGCAAATGTCACAGAGTTAGTGACACGGGCACACATTTTCATCTGCAGTCTCCTACAGTAAGCACAAATAAAAGCACACAGACAATTAGTAAAACAATGACATAACATAAAAATATACTGAAACATTTGCTGAAAGGAATGAGTTGACATATAAATACGCTTATTTACTTACTGGAGGTGAAAATGTTTGAGACTAGGTACAAGTAGTAAACAAGATGAGGTAAAAACAACTGAAAACATGAAGCACAATGGTAAATACTGCAACAGATCTGATTTGTATTGGGCTGCATGTCAGTTGGCAGCAACAGAACTTCAGAGAGGCCCAGTAAGCTGAGCCCAAGTTAGACGAGCATTGTTTCAAAAAAACACAGCACAGATGTTTAATTAGTCAAAAATACATTTCTTACAATATGCAGACAGACTGCAGTGATAATTGGACAAACTCCAATTAAAACTCACCGACACTCACAATTATGAAGGTGGCACTCTTGTTATGTGTGACTTAGTCTTTTTCAGTGTTTGCATGAATAAAGCACAGTTACAGATAAAATTGCCCTCAGCGTTCATCATCGCCACCATAATGGTTAGTTCTACATAGAATAAGTCACCACACTTTACAGCCGGCGGCAAGGGTTTAATCAGCTTATTGGGGATTAAACTGTTCTATCGAACCTCACTCGTCCTGATGTCTGACTGTAACTATTGTGTCCCTGCAGTGCGTCTGCCATGCTGACTCCAGTGTCCGGTTCTTCGTCCGCCTCCGTCACGGCCTCTGATAAGTACGCTGTTTTCAAGCAGCTGTCTGTGGAGCAGCCGGCAGAGCCTACACCCACTGCCTCAGGTACCTTTCTATAGCTCACACTGTATGTTACGAGTCACTGTCTGCTCTCCGTGAAATGCTCCAGTCGGGGGAATCTGGGAAGAAAAGATAGAGTAGAGTAGATTAGGGAAGGGAAAGAAATATGATCTTCAGATGTGATACCAGCTTCACAACACAGAGAATGTCTCATCTCTCACATGGGTTTCCACACATTTCACCGTGACACAGCTGAGGAATAGCGCGACCACTATTCCTCAGATTCTAATATATTATCCTTTCCTATCCACCTCCATATAGCGTTTTACTACTTCTGAAATAATATTGATCCCTGAACGTTACGTACTGCAATTTCAGTCTTGGACATTATTTCCAATCAGGCCACCTTCAGTTTTATGGAAATCGTTTTAACTTCTTAGAATCTCAGTGGTCCTTGAACAAACGTAGAGTACCGGTTGCGTTAGCAGACTGCATTAAGGCAACACCTGCCTACCTGTTAAATGTGTTGTATTTTCTGTTCATACTTTACCATTCTTCTTTATTTGTTCTGATCCAGGTGTTGGGGACAAATACAGTGTATTCAGGCAGCTCGAGCAACCTGCTGACAAGAAACCAGTCGGTAAGAAACTCGGCCACACATTCAAGTCTCCTGTTTCTAAAACACACACATTAGCAAATCAATCAGTTTTTTAAAAATACATTTCTGTGTATTCTTGAGAATAAATCCTTTGGCCTTTTTGCCACATGAAAAAGAGGACCTGTTGGGCTCAGATATGGTCGCTAGTGTGAAACCCCTCCTAATAAAACATTGTATCGTGACTTGGGTAAAGTTGTTAGGGCGCTACAATGCCATATTTTAATGCCATTCTTTACACTATGTGTTGTTTTGCACGTCTTTAGTGTTGATGCCGGTGTGTTTCCCCCATCCCTGTTTCATTAGAACAGTTTCCGATGGGGACTGCTCTTACAACTCCAGTAAGTCATGCTTTGCGGTGACCTTTCCTTGGCATTGTCGGGCTCCATCTCCTTAATGAGCCCATTAGTTATCTCTTTTCCACCACACACCAGCGGTGTGAACAGATTCTCTGTTTCCATAGATGCATATATTATACAGCAGCGGATTAACAACCCCTGAAACTCAAGAATGCATTCTGACTCTTTCTCTTTGAGGTTTTTACACCAGCGGCTTGTTTCAAAAGATTTGAGACGAAAAGATTCTGTTCCAAGAATGTTTCTGCTGCTCTTTTTATAGCATATATTGAGCTTTGTCATTGCAAACAAGACCCATCTTAACAAGCAATTTTTAGTTTCAATTACATTTTTACTATTTTGTCAACCAAATAGTAAAACAACCTACAATTGTATTGCTACCCAAGTTCAGGCAGTCGCAACTGCCTAAAACCTTTGCAATGTATCTAATAGGAGTAAAATGTACTAATGGTGGTTTCCTAGATTTTAAAGTCAAATCTATCTTCTCCAAACCATTTTGACATCTCGGTCTCAAAGGTTGCATAACTTGCTAGAATACCAAAAAACAGCCAACTGTGACTAGTGCAACTTTAATTCGGGATGCACCGATGCCGATATCGGGGTATCTGTTCAATTCAATTCTATGTTTGTATACTATACACATTATATACTGCAATTTTAATTCCTGTATAACTTTTGACCAATTTGTTGCTGTAAGAGATTTACACTCAAATTGTAGTTCCTGTTAATTATGAAGATTTCTTACCAAGTTGCTAATACGATGTATTATTTGAGTTTTAAATCACAATTCAGTAAATTTACATCTATGCATTTATTTGTTACATTTTGTTTTACAAAGCCTGATATTGCCTTAAACATGAAAGAATGATCCAAAGAAGCATGCAGCTTATTGCACCACGGTTTGAGTAATTACTGGATTGTGATAGACTGCAGGGTATCCATTAAGTAAGAGCTAATGCCAGCGTTGTCTCTGCAAAGTCCATTAATTCCTGATTATGGACACCTTGAAGGGGATTATACCGCTTATACAATGCTCATTTGGAGAAGAGTAAAATGATTAGTACCATTAATTTATATCGTCATGCGTTTTGCGACCAAAATCTGTGGCGACTCTAACAGACAAGCTGCTAGAAGACGGTTCCACTGCCCCTCTGAATTTACTGACGCATGTAAGTGAGCTTCACTTATTCGCTGTTCAACTCGCTTCTTCAGGCTGCGGCCGGCAGTACACATGGCCTCTCTCGTTTGTTTGTGAAGATATTGGACTAGTGGAGACGATGACATGTCTCGTAGTTGATCCAAAGGGTTCAATGAGCTGAGTGGACTAGAAACATCTCCCGTCTGTTCTATTTACTGTGAGCTGTGAACAACATTTCCATTGCATGAGAACCTTATGGGATGGTAATGATTGTTCCAGGTATTAGCCAGCCCTCAGGGTTAGCAGGGAAATTAAGGGAATAATAAGATTTTGTTGCAAAACGTATGAAAATACACACTAATACCCAAAGCCCAGGTAACGATATCAGTATCAGGACTGAAAAAGTTATTTCGGTGCGTCCCTGTATTTAATTTGCACTTGTTAAAAAACTGGCACTGGCAGCAAGTTGACCTCTATTACTCCACTGGGAGAAAGTTGAGAGATTATCAGACATAAGGAGACGATATTACTTGTTAAGATGGACATTTCTTCTGCAGAATTTCTTCATCATGTTCTGTTCCAGGGTGAGCAGCTCATTGCATGGTAGTGCGGATGTCTCTCGATGACGTAGCTTTTTTTTGTGCAGTGATGTGTGCTGTTGATCGGAGGACTGGAAGTTTACCGTGATCGTTTACCGTGATCGCCTCAGAGCCATAACTAACAACTACCCGCTTCCTTTCTTGTAGGATTATAATATAACAGAATCATGGCGGCTGCAGCTGTAAGTGTTCGATGATGACTCTCTGCCACGATAAATATTTTGTAATGATCTTAAATTGTTGTCTTTTAATTCGCAGGGGAAGGATTTGCCGATTTCAAGTCCGTCAGCGCTGATGATGGCTTCACAGACTTTAAAACCGCAGACAGCATCTCTCCATTAGACCCTTCAGACCAGGCCAAGATCTTTCAACCTTCCTTCCCCTCTGCTTTCCCAACCTCTCAGTCTCTTCAACATCTACCACAGCAGCAGCAGCAGCAACAACCAGCAGTGTCTCTTTCTCAGCCCAAAAATCCTCTCAACATGGCCGACCTGGACCTTTTCTCTTCTATAGCTCCCTCTGTTCCTGCCCCCACAGAGACAAAACCCAGCACGTTCCCCTCAGTGTCTGTGCCCCCCCCTCTAGTGCTCTTACCAGGTGGAGCCAAACCTCCAGGGGGAGGTGCAGATGATTTTGGGGATTTTACCCTCTTTGGCTCATCCTCTGACGCTGCTCAGGCTTCCGCAGCGGGGGGAGCTGTGGCAGCGCCACAGGACGACTTTGCAGATTTCATGGCGTTTGGCAGCTCCGGCGGGGAGCCTAAAGGCGAGAGCAGCAGCGTCGGTGTCCAAGGGGAGACCTCCACTCAGCAGCGACCTCAGCAGGGCTCAGACAAATACGACGTATTCAAACAGCTGTCTCTGGAGGGAGGCCTGGCCTACGACGATGCTAAGGAGAGCGGCGGTGGCTCCTTCTCTTCGCTCAAGAGTGACACCGACGACTTCGCCGACTTTCAGTCCTCAAAGTTCTGCACGGCGCTCGGGGCTTCGGAAAAGACTCTGGTGGACAAAGTGGCCGCTTTCAAACAGGCCAAAGAGGACTCCGCCTCCGTCAAGTCCCTCGACCTCCCGTCCATCGGGGGCAGCAGCGTAGGAAAGGACGACTCCGAAGACGCACTCTCAGTGCAGCTGGACATGAAGCTCTCGGATATGGGCGGAGACCTGAAACATGTGATGTCGGACAGCTCTCTGGATTTGCCCGGCCTCTCGGCCCACCAGCCCCCCGCTACAGGTGAGGAACTAGTGCGATTGCTCTGGTGAGGCCCCATCCAGTCTCACACACAGTATTAATTCCAAGGCCAGTAGTGGCCTCTTCTCCTCAGTGCCCATTTGTGAGCACCAAACAGGGGTCAAAGGGCAAGTAATGACGTCCTAATTGAATTGAATATGCTCAAATACTGAAGACAGACGTAACACTACATGAATAACATATCAGATTAGATGCATCGTATCTTTCATTCTACATTTCATCATTCATCTAATCTTATTTATTTATTATTTATTTATTTATTTATGTACGTGAATCCTTAGTTCCCCCTTTCTTTTTATTTCCATATTCCTTTCTCCTCCCTCCAGTCCCTCCATGCATATATTATTGTTGTAATGACAGAAAGTTCCTGGCCCACATGGACGCCTCGTTCTGATGTGTTTGCAGTCATAGTTCAGAGACGAGGTCTGTGTGACTCGGATAAGCTCCCCGATGTGTTGTGTCCACGCTGCAGCAGCAGACGTGCTTCCCTTCAGTGTACCTTTTGTCTCCGCAGGCCGAACTTTACGAGTGTGTTGTTGACGTGTCGTGCAACGCTAACCGAGTGGTTGAATTGAATGCAGACGAGTACAGGAGATTGTTACGTGACAATCGTCTTGTTTATTGATGAGCTGAAAATAGATTCCATAGAATGTTTCCTTAAATGTGCAAGATCGGAGATTGGGAGCATCAACCTGTACACAGCGTACACAACCCTAACCCCTGAGCTCATAGCTTACAGCACTACACAGAGGGAGAGCGACTTCATCCTCTGCTCAGGTAGACATTACTTCACTATGTCTTTACATAGCAAATAGTTGTTTGATGCTATGTTAATGTTCAGAATGTTAAACACAGCTCCTTTAAATAAGAAACAGGAAACAAGATATTTTTATATATATATATATATATATATATATATATATATAGCACTGTGCCACAGAGGCAGCCGAGATGTTAAGTGCATCAGAGCTGGATGCAAAACAATCTTTGGGCCAGTTATTTGAATGCGAGTGCATGTTTTTTGCGTCTTTATGTACATCAGCTTTTGTATTACTCTGCAGTATTTCAGACCTACCATGCAGTGTTATTTGGATCAAATTGCCCTCTTAATTATGAGATGTTTCAAGAATAGCGTGTCGGCTTTTTCTCCCCCTACCTCACGTCCATGACAGGCGAAGGACCCACACGCATACGTACACACAGTTTGATTAAAAGGAAATCAACCCAGTTTCGGTTCTAATCAGGAAATGTTCATGCCAGCGTTCCCTCTCCTTCCCTCTCCAGTGCTCATCATGTATTCATCGAGCGTATCACATTCCATGCCATGGCTCATGTTTCACAGAAACATTGCATTTGTGATGTAATCCGAGGTGGCATGTAGCCGTTGTCGGCAGCTCAAATAACATAGTTTTGTATTTTTTAACCTTTTATTGAACCCTTTTCTGGGGGTTGAGAGAGAGTCGACAAAGTATTCACCCAACGACATGGACACTTTTTTGTTTTTTACTCACGCATTCAACTTTTTGCATCGACAGCAGTTGTTTCTAAACTTTATCAGTTAATCATCACTCAAACAACATGTATCTCATATCATTCCACCCAACGAATCAATGATCAGAAGAAATCACAAACATAAACATCCCCATTGCCTTATTTGAGTTTCTGGACAGTGGTGGAAATGAAACTGGCCCCTCTGCACTGACAGAGTTAGATGATGGTTTCAAACAAAGAGTCCAAGGAGCTGCAGTGAAACAGTGAGGCTCCTCCTGATAACAGAGCCCAGTTCATAACCAGATACATTCCTAAGAAGCTTTTTCACTACTGGAACAGCTGCTCCACCTTTTTCCCAAGCTTTCATCCTTATTTATCCGAGCTCTGGGACTAATCTGTTGTTTAAAGTGTAGCAGGCCGAGCGGTTTCGAGCACCTCACCATGCTTTGCACTGGGTTTCTGGACATGTACGTAATCTTAAAGAGACAGTATTTCTCTTGTGAGGGTTTTCCTTTTTCAGGAATTTAATTTTATTTATTTGTTTATTTTTATTTGTTACCGTTCTCTGTGATATTGCAGCATGAATAACCATGTGTGGCTCTCCGGTCTGGCTCTCTGAGAACATGATGCCGTTAGTATTACCCTTCCTGCCTTGCTTTTTGCTGCAGTATGTCTGTATTTTCAATTTGTGAAATTGACAAGAACATAACACAAGATATCATTTTATGCGTAACAGTATTGCAAGTTGTTTTTATCAAAGGAAACAAATGTATACATACAGATTTAATAGTGTATTTTTACTACAGGACTATGAGCTCTTATTATGACAGACTCCTTAATCTTGGTGTGATTTGCAAACTATGTAAATTAAATGTAGCCGACAGTATTCAAATATTTGAGGTCAACATTCCAAACTAAACATTGTTATCTCAAGTACTGACGTGCTATTATTTAGGGGATCATAAGAGTTTGTGCACATTAGCCTGCTTTAAAAACAATCACTGTAGCAAGAGAAAAAGGACACTGTCTCTTTAAACCTGTTTCTGCATCTGTGATTGGATGTAATGGAAACCCTTTCTGGGATGTCAGGTGTAAGGATGACCCTCTTTGTTTTCTGTAACCCTTTGAGTGCTTGAACAAGATCACTTTACATGCAGATAAGGAGGTTAATGCAGACATTGTGATTACCTCCTCTTCAGTTGTTATTATTAGAATAAACACCAGGACTAAAATCTTATTTCATAATTGTAAATGTATAAATGGCAGCCTCTTAAACTGTGGCTTTTAAGTCCTCACTGCTCCTTAAAATGCAGTTTGTTCACAGCCTTTCCAAACGAACCAATCTCCCCCCTCAGGTCCTCAAAGGGTTAATGCTTCCTGCCTCGAGCTTGTTCTTTGAATTATCTCTTCAACTTGGCTTTGCAAGTGTTCTGTACTCGTATCTTTTCCGAAACACCTGTTGCTTTACATCCTAATAGTAAAACACGGTTTGTCATCTCCCCAGAATTCCCGATTTGAGTCTGTGAATGTGCCTTCTCACTCTGGTTCCTGCTTCTATATCCTCGGATTCTCTTTGTTTTTACCTTCTCTGTTTGTTTTCTACCTTTTTCTCCTGACTCTGCATGCCCTTGTATTCTAAATGACTGAAATCTAATATTTTACAAGTGTTAGTTTGACAAACCTCTTGTAATAATAGACCGCTTTCACAGTACTTTGTGACCTCTCTCTCTCTCTCTCTCTTTACTCATGTTGTCATAATAAATATTACTGTTGGTATTGCTGAAATGCGTACCGTCTTATTTTCTCCTTTCACTTCTTGAGAAGCCGCAAAGTGATCTAATGACACGAGGCTTACAGCACTAGGTCCTTGTCAATTTCACAAATTGCTTTTTGTATCTGAGGGGTTCTGTCATGCAAAACAGGAAGCGTTCAACAAGGTCAATATATGTGTGTGTGTGTGTGTGTGCGCGTGTGTGTGTGTCAGAAAAACAGAGAGAGAGACGTGAATCCTCAAGTGTTGTGACAAATGTGTGCACGGTGTGTCGGTTAGTATTTGTGTTGAAGAACAACACAATGTAAGAAACAGCAGATGTAATGACAGGAAAGATCTTTTATTGATGTTGTTCGAGCCTTGAGGCAAAATCCTTCAGGTTTCATTTAGTACATTATAAAGAGATCAACTCTGATGAATGCAGTGGTGGGCCGTGCATTTTATACCTGGGCCTTCTGTGCTGTCCTATTGAGCTACGGTTATCTTATCTGCTTCTATTGGTGTAATAATACACGTATTTGTATTAAACCGTTCGGTACGAGGCTTACGCACCGAACAATACGTTTGAATAATACTAGTGCATTTGGAAAATGCAGAAGCTTGAATTGTGGGAAATATAATGTTTTCAGTGGACTGCGCTGACGTAGGAGACAACGGGATGTGTGACCTTTTGAACCCGTAACAATAACAAAAAACAGCTGAGGCCCCGCGTGTGAGGGAGGCTAAGCTAAACTAGTTTAGCGGGGGAACAACGGCAGTTAGCTGTTCCCTACTGATTCAAGCAGAGAAAAGTCACAAAAGTCACTCTGGCCTACTGACCAATCACGGCGCACGTTAATGCAGACGTACTTAGCAGGCTACCTGGGTAGCAGTGGCACGTCAAAGAATACGCCCAACATGTCAAACTAAAGATCTGATTGGTTGAAGACTATGACAATCAACAATATCGTCCCCATTCACTTTAATCTGCAAAGTCTACCTAGAGGACCTCGGGCCTCTCTCCTATAGAGACAGCATAGAGGTGACATCTGATTGGATAAAAGCTCTCCTTAAAACAAGCTGTGCTGGAAGCAGCGCTGCAGGCTGGAAGCAGAGCAACAGAGGAAGACAGGAGCTGTGCAATGAGAAAATAAGCTAATGGGAAAAAAAAATTATGATGCATGTAGTGTATTTGTGAAAAAATATTAAATTGTAAAATAGCTATAACTTTGTGATTCTGTTTAGCCCAGCAGAGAAGGCTTAGCTGGCCCTGACGGCCCACCGCTGGATTAATGTTAGCAGAGCTGTTTGAGGATGAGAACAGCAAGTGGTTGCCAGTGTAAGGAGAACTGTCCACTATTTAGAAAAAGGCAGTGTTAGTATTCATTGTGTTGACAGCAGTAACTTTATTCTTATGAACATAATTCAGCTCAGACATCAAAACATTTTGTTCATCGTTCTTCACGAGGTAATTTATGAAACAGAACTTTAAAAAAAATATGGACGAGACGATGTGTTACCGTTCCAACAACAAGAACGAGTCAGGCACAAGTATTATAATGAAAAACTCGGCATCGTAAATATGCAGATTTACGGTGTACGTGATTGTCTGTGTATTGCAGAATTTGTTTTCGCATCTTTTAAAGGACAAAATATGGGGAATGTTTCCTTTTACAAGACATCTCAGATGCAGCATAGGTGATGCTGCACAACATGCCAGTAGAGTCAGAGGGTCAGTCCTCCCAAATAACAAAACAACCTCCAGTGGTGGTGATGACGTAGCCGTTTAGGTTTTATCTGCACATTTTTGAGATATCTTTGAGATTTTCACCTCCGTCCCAGAACAATGGAGGTGAATGGACATGAATTAGTGGTACAGGATTGAAAAATGACATTTCAAAGATTCAACAGAGGTACAACATGTTATGGATAATCCACAGAGGACTGTTTTCATAGGGATTATTTCTTTGGTTGAAAGTTGCTCAAATAGTGTGGATTATCCAGGGTAACCCGCGTTCTTGGTTTTAGAAAGAGATGCTTCTGTTTTTAGTGTAATTCTCAATCTCGTGAGCACCACAACATCTATTTCATTGGGGTGAAGGCAGAAATGTCAGACTGATATATCACAAGCTGGCTAAATAAAACAAAAACTTGCCACCACTAGAGGTAAGTGAGGACATACAACACTTGAACCATCCATAAGAGACGGCGATAATCCAACAGAAATCTCAGTCCCTCATCCAGGCTCGTTAATCTACCTCCTATCATGACAGCATCTATGCTATACCTAGGAACATGTCTGTGTTGTCATTGCAGAAGGAGACGACATGAAATTTGACCCCTTCGGGACGTCTGCCCTCAGCACCCTGTCCAGCTACGACTGGTCAGACCGCGAGGAATGTCTGCCCGGGGAGGTCAGAAAGCCGCAGGGCTTTGAGGGAGCTTCCCGCCCGTCTTTAGTGCCAGCACAGAAAAAGGAGCTGACCTTTGGCAGCACAGAAAACATCACGAGCGGCTCCGCGGCAAAGGTCCCGGCCTCCTTTCCCACCGAGGACAGCTCGTCCACAGATGACAAGTTCGAAGCCTTCGCTGATTTTGGCCCCGGCGACCAGGGCGGTGTGGATGACGAGGACGACTTCGGGGACTTCGCGAGCACAGTTTCTGAAAAGTCCGACTCGCCAGCCGCCACTGCGGAGGGCGGCTCCGAGGGCAACCAAAGCGAGGCCTCTGATGAGTTTGGAGCCTTCCAGGGGGACAAGCCTAAGTTTGGCAAGTCTGACTTCCTCAAAGCCAGCGCTCAGACCAACGTCAAGTCCAGCGAGGAGATGATCAAGAACGAACTGGCGACATTTGACTTGTCTGTTCAAGGTGAGTCACGATCATCGTGTTGAACCTGCTGTGTGTGATAGGAATAGAAGCACCTTCATCATTCATGCACATTGATAACGAAAACAGTCATAAATTAGCCTTAAATCAGAAAGGCACATATTTAAAATATGGATGAAAGATGGTGGAAATGCCTCTTTTTTTTTTTTTCTTTTTTTTTACGTGGTTCTGTTATAGTTAACTCATTAGTTTTAGCTCTATACAGTGATGTTAATACCAACATTCTGACCAAACACTACATGTTTTTGATTAACACTCTGTTGACTCTGTTGGCCAACTCCAAAACCTTAAGCCCTAAAATGGCGCAGAAACACTCTTCTCAAGCCTCGTCTCCCACCCCACCGCCACATGTTCAGCCCCTCACATCTGCAGTAAGGCTGTCAGACATTAGATGGCAGTGTTGAGATGACGGCTCTGCTCTAGTGGCAGTGACTGGTGAGATGGATTAGCAGAGGCCAACAAATCCATGAGCACAAATTAACCGTATCCACAGACAGGCTGATCGGTTTTTTTTTTTAAACCGCTGTTTGCGGGTGTCATGTTCCAGGAATAATTCATCAGCTTCTCCTGCAGCGTGATAAAAGCCCATTTGCCCGATAGATTTATCTCCCCGGTGCTGGATTTAATTTGTGTGAGAAAGAGACCCTTTCTCTGCGCCCAGTGGAACCGGAATCTGATCCTGGGGGAGCTTCTGGGTTGTGGGGAGGATGACGCATGTCTCTGTGGGTGGTGGAGAAGTTGGGGGGGGGGGGGGATAGATTACCTGTGTCTGGACACACACACACACGCCAGCCCCACTGGAATAGCCCATGTGTGTTGTGGTGTGCTGCCAGGATTTGCCTGCGAGTCCCTATGAATAATTCATAGCTGCATATTTGTGCCTCTGTTTTGTACGTAATTATTGTTTGTCGTAAATTAAGTATTTACTCATGCTGTCCTTGTCCAGGAGGAACTAGCTGCAACAGAATGGAAGCATAATGATTGCAAACAAAACGTACCTCAAAATGAGTCATCGCCATAGGTTGCTGTGCTGATAAAGAACAACAAAACAAAGTTTGTGGTTCTCGCTTTGTCTCAGGCTCCCACAAACGCAGTCACAGTTTGGGCGACAGGGAGATTGGGCGTTCTCCCCCGTCTCCGGCTCCAGAGCAGCCCTTCAGGGACCGATCCAACACCCTGAGCGAGAAGCCCGCCCTGCCCGTTATCAGGGACAAGTACAAAGACCTGACTGGGGAGGTGGAGGTGAGGAGGGCCCGGCATTAACTGTTATCAACCAACAGATTTCAGCACAATACTCGGGGACTGTGAAAGGCTGCAGAATACAGACATGTTCCTCTCTTTTGCCTTTGTGTTCATTTGAGATAACGTTGTGCTCTGTTGCTGCAGGAGAGCGAGCGCTACGCATACGAGTGGCAAAGGTGTCTGGAGAGTGCTTTGGAGGTTTGTATTTTTCTTATCATGTAAGTTTTGGGACAAATCATTTCCTCTCCCCCTGCAAACACACTTTTTATGATTTGGATTCAAACTAATTTTAATGAGTCTGTTAAAAATATACATAAAATGTTTCTGCACACCTGAATATGTGTGTCAGAGGGAAACACAACTTGAAAATAATCTACCGCACGCTGGAATATTTATTAATTCAGAATGTTAATCAAATGATTCAATTCGATTTTATTTATCAAACATTTGCCTCAGTGGGCTCTACCATCTGTAACAACTAACTACATCATAATGCTGGCTTCTGTCTTCCCACATTAAGGTCATCACCAAAGCCAACAACATCCTGAACGGCATCAGCAGCTCCTCTGTCTGCACCGAGGTCATCCAGTCTGCTCAGGGCATGGAGTACCTGCTGGGTGAGGAATCACAAGTCTCTCTCTCTCTCTCTCACACACACACACACACACACACACCATATAGTGTGAACAAGAGGCTGTTGGAGAACCTCGTGTGTGGCCTTGCACCCTCTGAAGGACAAGAGAGGACGAGATTAAAAGGAGCTCTGGTGCGATGGCTTATCTCTGCCCGCTCTGACGACGTCCTGTTCCCTCATTGTGCTCCTCTGCTTTTTAATGAGCTGCGACGGACTGAACACAGTGTTTCTCCCCGAAAACGGAACAAAAAAAGAACAACAAAACAGGTTTTTGTGATATGTGCGCTTGTGTATTTTCTCTTGACAGGCGTGGTGGAAGTGTATCGTGTCACCAGGCGCGTGGAGCTGGGCATCAAGGCGACAGCCGTGTGCTCCGAGAAGCTGCAGCAGCTGCTGAAGGACATCAGCCGCGTGTGGAACAACCTCATGGGCTTCATGTCGCTGGCCAAGCTCACTGTAAGATGCGCAAAACATTAGAAATATTCCAGAGAAGACGAGGACGGTATAGATGTATTTATTTAGACGGCTGTCTGCTGCCGTCTGTAAAGCAGAAACATAGAGACTGTCCTCAATCACCGAGCCAGCAGAGTTGCAATATTGTTTTTCACACTGCAGAAGATAAAACATAGTATCTCGAGGAGGGGGAGAGAAAACTAAAATGGAACTGATGATTAATTGAACCATGGGGGGAGCTTTTATTTCAGGTTCATGCTGGTTTTGTTAGTTGTTCCTCCACATAGCTGAGTCTTTAGAGAAAGCTGATGATGCTCGGAGATGTTTACTGTGAGCAGTAAATGACTGCTGTTATTATAAGAATAGAAATTACTACATTTTGCCCAGCGGCACGAAGTGAAATTTGTGTGTGCGTGTTTTTTTTTGTGTGTGTGCGTAGCCTGATGAAAGCTCCCTCGATTTCTCCTCCTGTATTCTGAGGCACGGCATTAAGAATGCCAAGGAGCTGGCTTGTGGGGTGTGTCTACTCAACGTTGACTCACGCAGCAAGGTTTGTACACACACACACACACACACACACACACACAATATAACCGTTAGTGGATACTTTTTGACAAAAATATTGTTGTGCTCATCCACACCGGATAACAACTGACATTTGTGTGACTTTGAAACGTTTTGCAGAACAAAGAAGAAAGCACTATTGGACGTCTGTTTAAACGAGTATGAGACATTCAACTGCCAAATAAATCTCATTCCACTCTTTCCCACTGGGGGCCTTTGGGGGCGGGGCCTATTATCCTGTTATCCACAAGCCCGACGGGGGGCCAGAGTGACGGGATTCACTTCTCTCCATTGCTCCTCTACAAGCAAACAGTTGTCTTCATAGACGCACACTGTAACGGAATCAGTTTAGTTTGTCAAGCTTTCTGTTTCTCACACGGCACATAGTGCAGTTTGTGATGACGCTTTCATTTCAGAGTGTTAAGTGTAGACACAAGCAGCTCCTCACTTCAAACCAATGGCCGATGATGAGATCAGCTGTAGATAGATAGCTATGTTGTGTGTTTTCTCCAACTCGCTGAAACTAAACCCAGGCAAAGACTCACTGTTCTCACCAGCTGATCTTTTTCTATATGTCAGTGCTGAGATTTAGTTCTTGGGACTATTAGCTTAGCTTATTGGTACTTTTAACGATACAAAAGAGAAAAGACTTTTAGGATGAGTAACTGGAGTTGCTTGAGTGTAATAAATAGCAGCAAAGAGCTAACATTAGCCTCATCACTAATAGCGAGGGTATGCTAGTTAATGTAGCCTGTAATTCCACAACATAAGTTATTTATAAGATCCTTGACTACTGAATTAACTCTCGGTTACTAACTTGACTGTAGGCAGGGAGAATAACACACTTTTAACTACACGTTTGCTCTTGTGTTTTTAAGAATAAGACACCACCCTTCAAGTTATTTTACTGCTGGGTGTCTCTCTTACTAGAGACCCATGTGCACCGTTTCAACATGTGAAGAAATCCAATGCTTGACAGGCCTGACGTGTCTCCTTACAGTTGCTAAGCTATGATTGGACGATCACCGTTCGGAGAAGGGCGGTCCCAGCTTTTGTACTGAAGGCTGACTAAAAATAATAATAATGTAATGTGATAACAATGTACACTCTTCAAATAAGTGAGAGAGGAGTCGTCACTTTGACACCTCAGGGTGGGGTCCTCGCACTCTGGGATTGGTTTCTTCGAGGTCACAGATCTCGTCACTTTGTCTTGGACGGGTTTCATTTTCTACTCTGTCGCCTCCAACGCGAGGCGAGCGCTCATCTCGCCGCCTGCAGCTAACAACCATCGGTGTTTCTGATAAGTGTTGAACTCTGAACGGGGGGGGCGCTGTGTGCAAAACGTCTGTGTCTGTGTGTGTGTGTCTACCTCCCGGCCTACGGTGGCTTTGCTTTCCTTCGACGTGGGCCGTTAATGGTGTTCTTGGACCCTGCGGTTTAGAGGGCAGGATGGCGGCGCAGGCTGTTTCTTGCGGTCCCTCTGCTGCTCAGCCAGAAACCAGATGGATGGCCCAGGCAAGATGTGGCTGACGGAGAGGCATCTAGGATGCAAGCAGATGTGGCTTACACATTAGTCAAAAGTGGGGAGTACAACTGACAATTAGCCCGGCACACACAAACACACACTCTCTCTCACACACACCTCCCACTCTTATGTGCATATCAGCAGGCTGAGAATTGATGCGGTTTTATTTTGTCTCTGTGCCACTAGCATGAGATTAATAACCCATCTTTTAATTGCATTTTTGTTTTTTTTGGCAGAGCCACGCGGGTAAGTACGAATAAAAGCCAAGTGAAGAATAGCATCCCCTCAGAGTATAATGAAGTGAAAGCACAGCTCCGGCTACAGCAGACGCCACTGATTGTTGCATTGTCCTTCAGTCAAGAGGTGCTGATTTGTTTTTCAACCAAGGTGCTGAAAGGGAGGAGATGTTGATGTTGCGTCAAAGAAATCTGACGGCTGAAGAGCTTGATTGCTCCTGCTTACTTCTGGCTGTGAATTTTAATTTTTCAAAAGCTTCTGGAAAATCTGTATCCCATTTGTTGATACAAATTGACCCAAAAATCTAGTAAGGGTTTCAGTCTCACCTTGTCGCTGTTGGAGTGATCATTTTGCGGGAGTCAGGGATGGGCAACTGGCAGCAGCTTCAGCTCAGCTCAGTTTGTCACTCAAAGGCAGCAGCAGTTATGGTTTATCATAAGTGAATCTTTTCAGCTAATGATGCTCCAGCGCATCTCCCAAATGATAAATGTTAATTTGAGCAATTACAGGGAGCAGCACTGGAAAGGATTTTAAGTTGAATAATTTAGCATATCTGGCTATTTATATGAATGCCCAGAGGATTTGGGTTGATTGTTCTGTGTCGCTTTTACTCAAGGAGGTATGACAGCAGTACTAACAGAAGTTTGGATCCAAGCTTCGTCAGCTTTTTCTGCAAATGTTCCCATGCGCAAAAATTTGAATTCGTAAATCAGTTTTTTTTTTGTTGGTGGCCCATCTCTGTCACAGCTTGCTGTATTGTGCCTCGGGTTAGCAAGGTTCCTACACAGCAAAATAAATTCCTTAGGTAATACCGAGCCTGAAAAGAGCTGCGTGAATGTGGAAGTTATTCAGTCAGAAATAGGTTATGACGCAAATAGTATTAACAAACCGCTTCTGTCTGACCTCCACAGTCTGGATGTGACGGTAACATCAGCTATTTAAACCCAGCTGGAATGACTTGCTAGTTTATGATTTGAACCACCAACAAACAGGATTTCTTCTGTTGTAATCTGAAGAAATGCACAATTTCTTACGTAAACAAGATACTGTAAAAGTGGAATTTGTCAGGAAATATAGAAACAGCAACCAAGCAAGTAATATATATGCAGCGGTTCCGAAACAAAAGGATTTAATGGGAAGTGTATCAAAGTAAACTTGGTTTATAGTGAAGAAGCTCAGAAGCAGAACAATGGCATTTGATGACCATATTTTCAACATAAAACCAAACTGAAATCTGGCACATACGTCTGTGTCGTACGCGGCTTTACAAGTGAAGTGCCATCGCAGTAATGGTGTACGTCTGAGATGCACTGCACTGATCTGCTACTGTGAGCATGCTCAACACACAGTAATACATCAATATTACAGATCAATCAAGGCCAAATCTCTTGAATTTTGAGATTGCACATGTGTAGGAGCCCTGAGGGATAAGAACTGGGATCCTTTCATGTCTGGGAGAAGGGAGCTCTTTTGTGGTGATGCAGCTGATGTGAGTGTTTGCTTGCTGCGCTCTCTGTGCACACTTTGCTCTGGGCTTTGCATGAACATGCTGACTGCTCTTGTGCTTACAGGCATTGATTAAAGACACTGACTGGAGGTTAAGGGTAAATATGCCTCATTTATTTTTTCACTATTGTAGAGCAGAAGTATAGAAAGCTAGATTGTAGACTGAGGGTAGTTTTTAATATTATCTAACCTGCTCAGTCTGAATCCTTAACCTTTATTTGCACCTACAAAGGTCAGTTGAACTACAAGAGTTGTAGTTTTATCTGAGCAGCTCCAGCTTTAAAGCATGAATACTCTCATTTATGTTCAGAGTAGAGTTACAAGTGGCTGCCTGTCTAAAGGCTTAACAATACACATCTGTCTAGTTACAAAACGACTAAATCGGCCCACACTCACTACCATACAGGTGAAGTCTAAGAAGGAGTCGGCGTGTGTAAAGATGCAGCTTTGAGAGGGAAAGGCTCTGCAGTGAAAGGTGTGTCTTTGTGTGACCACCCTTTCATTTAGTATCCTCCTCCTCTAACGTTGTGGAAACAAGTAGGCCAGGGCACGAAAGAGCTCAGGAAGGAAATCGCACTGCTTGTGAAATGTGAGCGTAAGAAAGAAAAAAAACAACAGAGAGTGTAAATGTGTCATTCAGTTTGCTTGAGGAAGCCCTTCATCTGGCCGGGCGTATGCGCTGCAGACGGCGTTCAGGCAGGTGGGGATGTGTTTGACTGGATCGGTGTGTTTGTATGCAGTTGTTGCTTTCTGCATGCGTCTCCCCTCTGCTTCTGTGTGGGAGGCTGTGATTCACTGCACATGACTCATTCCTCTCTCCCGACTTCAGCTCCCAGTATTTCACCACGGATGCAAACTGTTAAACCGCACATCACACACACATTAGCTTCTCCCGATTGTGTGTGCGCGCGCGCACACACACACACACACGGCACTCAATTGGGGATCAGACCACCAGATACATTATGTATTTAAATCAGTTTAAATAATGCCTTCAAAAACATTTCAGCTTTCAGTCACAAAAGCAAATCGTATTATGAAGCAACAGGTTTCAAACTTAAAACTCTAGAAGGTTCTCTCAGTGCAGTAGTCGGCACAACAAGTAGCGATAACTTGGATCCGCAGCGTAAAGGCATAATAAATTGTCTCACTCCTTGTCTATATCTTCCACATCTACCCCTCCTCCTCCCATGTGCGCAGATGGGTTTATTGCCTCTGTGATTCAGGAGTGTAATATCTACCCTTTCACTCCGACAGGCGTTCAACTCGGAGACGGACAACTTCAAACTGCTGTACGGGGGCCACCAGTACCACGCCAGCTGTGCCAATTTCTGGATTAACTGTGTGGAGCCCAAACCCCCCGGCCTCATCCTGCCCGACCTGCTCTGAGCTCTACGGGGGCACAAGCTGGTCAACGTCAGATAGGGAGAGCAAAGACACTGCACAGACTGAGAGGACGACGTTTAAAGTCACTGCATTCCTCTGTATTTATGTATCTTATCTCTTCTGTCACAACTCGGCTGTCACTCAGATCTGGTGGTTCGTTAAAAGATTTTGTATAAATATTTACCATCTACGTTGTTATTGCTACCTTTTTATTCTCCCACATAAATGACCTAAACACAGGTCAGCTGTACAGGTCATATTTAAATCAGTTGTGAGCAATGTGTCGTATGGTTTCCACTGCTGAACAAAGTCAATGAATTACTTACACTTAATTAATAATTAATTAATTAATCACTTGTCAGTGACTCATATTTAAATTATTAGGTGTGCAATAAATAATCTGGAGTTTTGAATGTTGCTTCTGTTTGAGAGGGTTTTTATTCATGACTTCCTTTCTTCCCACTGAGCCGGAGCTGTTGAATCATGACCCTACTATCGTACTTGAATTACATTTGTGGGTCAGGTGTGATTGATGAAACTCTGCGGCTGCTCTGGTTTTATTAGGAAGTCTTTAACATTTGAACCGAGGCTGGTGGTATACGTTTTCCTGACTGCCTGTTGAATTGACAGCTTTGAATGTTTTTTGCACGGTTGAGGAGATTTCAGCACCTCCGGGGGAATCTAAGATGTATATTTTATAGGAGGAAATAGTTGTTTGTGTCTTTTTGTTGCGTGCAACTAGAACTGAACGTCTGGAAAAAGTTGACTGATTCTGAACTGGAATTGCAGCGGCACTTTTTGTATATTGCAGTGTCATGCTGTAGCATTGTAACTATGACTAACTAATGTGAATGTGATGTAAATAAATATGCATACAGTTTATTTAAAGTGTCAGATTATTGTATTTGTCAGATTTTTTTAAAGGCTGTCTTTAAACAGCGCTCACGTATGTACATTAAGTTAGTTTTTAATCACTTTAACAGTGGTGATTCAATCAGCTCAGAAACGCTTTAACAGGCTGTAATAAGAGCGATACTCTGAATATTAAGAGGAGGGGGAAGCTGTTTGTCTTTATGTGTATAATAATATGTCTAAAAATTAAAAACGACAGCAAAAGTGTAAGGAATGGATTAAACTGCTGTGACGTTAGCATGCACGGCTGAATGACTTTCTGGTGTTCATTGGTTATTACTCTTCCTCAAATCCAGTGGTATTCAAAAATATATAAAAATAATAAATAAAATAAAAGTTGATTATTTAATTCGGGAACAACTAAGACCCTTTAAAAAAGTCTTGAAGAACCATATTTCGAGGAATTAGTTATATATTTTGTGACACTACTTTGTATAGTTGTATGACTTTATGACTTAATATTTATCGTGACATACTCTACTGTGACATTTTCATAGCATATAACATTTTTATTAAAAACAATACTATGGAATTTTACTGGTATTTTTGTGACATACTTTACGATGACATTTTTATGACAAATGTCACAAATGCCTTTTAATGACATTCTATACTATGACTGTTTTCTGACCTACTATACTACGATATCATTTATGAAGTTTTTTTTTATGCTATACTATGATAAGACATTAATACATGTGTTACTATACTGTGACTTGTTTATGATTTTCTATGGCATACTGTATAGTTTGATAATGGGACGTTTTATGACATCTATGACCTTTTTATGACATTACAGCATTGAAATAAGTCATTTAACTCGCATGGTTTTTCATCTTATTTCGCATGCATTCCCGATGAGCCTTCTCTGCCAAATGCATGAATGTTGCTTCACATTACTACCCCCCCCCCCCATCATCATCATTTTTAATTGACTGTCTCTCCGGCCGGAGAGGCCTCATCTCCATCAATTCATGACAAAATGGAATAAATTCTACTTCGACAAGCCTGCCGGCCATTGCTGGCGGTTCAGCTCAACCAATCAAATGAGATGTCTTGAGGCTGTGTGAAACCAGTCTTATCGTTCTCACACTTGTGTTCAGGTGTGCTCTCCAACATCCATTTTATCTGTCGCTATGACCTAATTCATTTCCTGCAGAAAATGATTTCCTCTCTACAGAAAATCACAAATGCTGAAATCAATTACTGAATAAAGCTTGTAATTTGAAATGCAGACCGCCTGTGCCTGTCATCTTCACGCCTATTGTCTGCAATGCTGAAATCATCACTGCGGGAGAGAAGCGAGATTGAAGTGATGCTGTGTTGTATTGACTGCTGCTCTTTGGTATTTCATGACCGTGGGCAATCACATTACAGTTTAAAAACAGCTGCTTCTGCACATGATTGCTGTAACTCTTGTGAATAGAGTTGCTTCCTGCTTTACTTTCTTCCGATTACATTTTCATTTTTTAGGTTCCAATTTTGTTACTGTGTTAGGAAGATTTTAATGTTGTCTTCTGTTCATGATCAATAACTACTCCTAGATTTTAGAGGCCAAATGTGATATTTGAGAGTTTGAAAAATCGGATCGATCTATTTGCTCCCCCCAACGTACACATAACAAATAATTAATAAAAACAAAATCGACTTGTCAATCAACAGAAAATGACCCAGCATCGATTCTTTACAAACAAAACCAGTTATCGAATGTCAAACATTCACTTGTTCCAGCCTCACATATGTATCTTCCCTGCTTGATAGAGTTGTAAATGATATACTTACAATAATATTTGGATTTCAGACTGTTGGTTGGACAAAACAAGACACAGATTTCACCTTGGCCATAGTGGGATTATCACTGTTTTACATTTCATATATTTTACAAACTAAACGATTATTTAAATTGCCATATGAATTGGTAAGACTAATACAAAATAATCATTAGTTGCAAAATAATTGTAAATGAGCTATACATTGAACAGGACATTTTACAGTTGAGAAATAAACAAGTCAGTGCTCTCTAGTGGACAAACGATGTAATGTTGTTCCGGTTTCTCATAGCATCAAACACCGACATTTCTTTGTTATTCATCAGCCAACATTTACACCGACACCAGCTGAGCACTTAATTGTTCAGGCCCACCTAGCTAAAACCGCCTTACAGTTAAAATCTATGGTAATTTGGGGGGGCTGCAGATTGTGTATTCTATATTTTTTATTATATTATTTCTTATTATTACAAATACAACACAATCAAAACCAACCACGTGTAAGTATTTCTCTAAATGCTTTGTGATTTCCCTACCTTGTCTGTGGCACTCATCCAAACCCATGTGTTCCCACTTGTGACATAAATCTTTAAGAACAGGTCACACATACAGTTTACAGTATAAAACAGCTGGACACTGCACTTGATCTTTTCATGGGATTTGCTGATAATAAGAACGTTCCACTTTAACACTAGTTCTGTCTTTCATAGTTAGCTGGCCCACCAGCAGTTAAAAGAAAGCACCAAAAGGCTGAATTTCACCATTAATGGACCTAAGCACACATTCTAGTCATCTTCACTATCCGTGGCTCACAGTCGTCCTCCTCAGTGCCCACTCTATCAATCAGTTCCTCCAGTTGAGGCGTTAAAGGCGATGGACAGATGAGTCCTTGTTACACCACAGAGACGGCACACTCATTCAGCTGCTGACTGAGGAAGAATGACTTGTTTCACTACAGACAAAACTGTATCAGGCAACGTCTCCCCCTGCGTTTTAGATGTTCCTCATTCCAACTGAGAGGCTTTTTTATTCTCTCTATGCTCATTTCAGTTATGGATTCTTTATATCACTGCTTCACTTCTGTATTTTTATGATCGAGACATGAAGAACTAGCATCATTTAAAACCTGTACTCTCCGACATTTATTGAGGTTTAAAAGTACTGCCGGCAGCCAAATAATCAGCATTCTGTACATGGCTATTCATTGCAACTAAGAAACACATACTTTGAATTACATCCAGCAGCATATGCTGCTGTGTGGCCAAACCAGGTTGTCAAATTATAACTGAAACGAGGGCGGCAAGCCTGAAATTGCAGCGGCGCGTTTAATAACTGGCCTTGTGCATATGGTCTTGTTAAAATGAAAATGCAGGGTTTACACCTATTGATATGGGAGTGGTGCTGTAGCTCATGGTGATTATAGTGAATCATTAAAGGCTGTATAATGTGAAGCCCAGAGAAGCCGTGATTCTGTAATTCATTGCAGCTATACAGCAGATGTTCATATTTGCTTTGAGTGGTTGAAATAAAACCTGCAGTCAGATATGCAAAACTGTAGTAGTGCTGAAATAATTACTTTACCACATATAATTTATTGCTCTAATTGTTGAGCTGCATTTCTTGTACATTTTGTCTCTTTTAATGCTGTTTCACAGCCCTCTCCACGCTTCAGAATGCTATCACAGGAGGGAGAAATACAACGTCCCTTCATCATATTTTAGATAATTTACACACATTCTGCCAAATATTGGTCGGTTCCAGTCTCTCAAACGTGTGGATTCAAATGAATGAATTTCCGTCTTTATATCATTATAGTCTGAATACCCGGTATAGGTTTGAACTGTTGGTTAGACCAAACCAGGGATTTGAACATTGGCCCCGCCACTCATTTCTGAATTTGTATAAACTAAACATTAATTGACAACAAATGAATGCATGTTGTAATTAACAGCAACACACAGCAGTTTGTTGCAGCTTACCCGTGTCTGATGCATCTTGTTGAGTTGCTGCCCTCTTAAATGTCATCTCCAAAAACTTAATCATCGTTGTTCATTCTGCGCCACTGGAGCCTGGCCTGCCTCTGATGCTCAGGGTGATGCAGATGGCTCTGCTGGTGAAGGATGTTTACTTTTAGTGCTTGATTATGCCCTGGAAACGTCATGTGGGTAGTTATGGGGGGGGGCAGGAGAAGATGATTCATGTTTTGCCGTGAGAAGATAGTGTGCAGTGTAATTTGGGCACATCACTTGTGCATCTCCATTGTGGTTGGCCTGTCATCAGCTGTCTCTCTGGGTAATGGCATTTATTGTGGAGACCACTCCGGAGGTCCCTCAGAAAGTGTGGGCACAAGACAAATGGCGCTCATCAATAATCTGCCTGCTGCTCTGTAGCCACAGCAAAATGAAATGAATGATAGGACGTTTCTTTGACGTCTGAAGATGTCTCTTGGGGAAAAAACGGCCATGCATAACTAAGATCAAGAGGCGTTTGGAGAGGAAACGCTGCAATCTGTTCCTCAGAAATGTAATTACAAAAAAAATAGAAATATTGTGTGTTAGAGGTGTGTTTCTTCTGAATCACATTTGAACAAAAACAGTGACATGAGATCTTTTTTCTTATTATCATTTTAATATGACTGTCTTGGGGAATGAAATGATTAGAAGTCAGATTACAGAGCATCTTCCTCCTGCTAACAATTATTGACCCCTGACCTTTCATTCTTTTTTTTTTTAATTGTTATTGTAATGTCACATTTAATCTATTATGGCATTGTTGAAAAAAACATTGTTGCACTGATCCCCGTGGGATGAAAATGTCAACTGTCACATCCAACATCACTGAGCGTGCGGTCTGTTATAGACGACCGCACAGAACAGCGATGTTATACTGCAGCAGTGTAGGGGTGAGAGTCCAGAAGGTAAATCACAATACAAAGCGACAGAGTCATCCGATACATCTAGTGCTGAAGCAATGAGTTGAGATTGGTCGATAGAAGGAAGATACATGTGAGAATATGCTGCTTTTTCTATTTATATCTTTTGGACCGTTTGTCGGACTAATAAAGCAATTTGAAAACGTCAGTTTAAATAAGTCACACACCGGCCACTTCACGTAGCGTTGCATCATCAGACGCGTGTAAATTGGCTCTGGACCACACAGGGGGGCACGCTATGCAGAAGAAGCAGTCATTTTATGGTAGCTTTGAAGTGCCAGATTGAGATCAAATTTAAGCTTCTCTGATTAATGTTAATGTGAGTCGGTGCTGGGAAATAAGACGGTGGTGGCGAGAATTGATGTGCTACTGGTGTGCAGGTTTACATCAAAAACAAGAGGTGCAGGTGTTTTGATGCATGTCATATGCTGCTGGTTTGGGTTTGATTGCCATTTTCCCCATTTCCTAATGTATTAATGAATCAACAAAAGGTAACCTGTGAAGATTGATCAGTCGTAGTGCTTTATTTCACGGGCGGCCTTGAGTCGGAGAGCGCCTGAGCTGACATCATCTCTTTATTTCTAGCGCCGTCTGCTGTATCCCGCTAACATCGCAGCTCCAGCTACACTGCTCGATATAAATATGTAAAAACTCGGCTTTGTCAATGTGAAAGGGAGGGAGGAAATGCATTTAACATTTGTATTTGTTAAACCCTAAGGATACACAGAATGTGTTTTGGTGCGTAAACATTTTGTTTGTTTACAAGAAAACTCAACGGAGTACCTTTAGGATGAAAATATACCACTAAAATAGGAAGAAAATGTTTCAACAGGCCAAACATTCACTGCACTGTTTACTTTTACGTGATAATATTGGTGGCAATGTCTAGGTGTGCATTGTGATTGCTTTTTTTGGTCTCACCTCGACAACAACTTTATAAGCGTGGGGACAGGACGTGCAGCAAAGTAAACGTTTTCAACCAGCAGCAGCAATAGCTGAAGTAGGATCTTCAGCCTGTGTGACGACGCTCTTTTAGGCAGATATACAAAGAGAAATAAAATGTCTTTTCTGTACTGCTAGGATTTTTTGCAACCTATGGACAAAAGGCAAAAAAAATGTAGGATAGAAAATATTGTTCCAAACATCTATCCTAGAGCTACCAATTCCCTTGAGGCGGCAGATCTTTTTGTGTTAATACAGCATCAAACAGCACTACAATAACATAGTGTGGTCACAGGATGAAACAGTCAACCCTGTGGTACACAGGAGCTTTCCCTAAATCTTGACTTTTCGCTTACTTCCTCTAGATGTTCAACTGTAAGAAGGTAGATGTAACAACATCTTTAAATGTTGAGTTAAAGTGTGCCATTTGTTCCTCACTATCAGTACATTTCAATCAAATAATGTGTCTGCATCTATTTTTTTTCTGTACACTTATCTTATATGCTACCATAAATTGAGAGCTTGCTGCTGCCCTTCACACTAACGATTACTGCACAACTGGCACAATACCACCACATGACATCATCACGTCAGGAAAAGGACTTCAGTCACATCACTGTCAGAGCTGCAGTGTCTCGAGAACGGCCACAACCTTCACCGAACGCTCATCCTCCAATGGAACTAGAATATAGACACCGAAACAAGATTAGAGAGTGGAAGTTGGTGCCGTTTATCTCCAGGGCTGACATCATTGTAGTCCCGATTGATCCTTTGGTCCGAAGGATTCTGGGGTTGAAGTCGCTTTGCTCCCGCACAAAGACTACATAGAGCCAACTGGTTGGACAAACAGCATCAACAACCAGTGTTTGGTCTCCCTCTGTCCAAACGCACCAGTATTCATTACATAGGCCTTACACAGACGTACACTCACATGCGTCTCACTTCGCCTGTCCTGAACATGCATGAAGCTACAGTCCAGGAGGGCAAAAGTGCTCATCTTGACTTCCTCCTTGATCTCTTCACTGTGGTTCTTAAAGGCCCCAGTACGGAGCCAGGCTCCTGCGGTCCCTCTCATAAACATCAGGAATGACCCCGTAGGGCGTCTGCACCATCTTAACAGAGTTCCGACCGAACAGCTTCCTCTCGTAGTCGATGAGCTGGCGCCAGAAGCCACCGTTGGGCCTGATGATGGGGCGGCGGGCTTTGACCCAGGCGTGGGCCTCGGCCAGAGACACGCGGTGATACTTCATGAGGTACGCCAGACACAGAGAGGCCGAGCGGCTCACCCCCGCCGCACAGTGCACCAGCACCGCACCTCGCTTTCGTCCCACGCTGTGGATCTTATCGGCCACGCTGTCGAAGTACAAGGAGAGGGGGGAGTGGGGCATATCCGCCAGAGGGACCTTTACATACTCCATGTGAGGCCAGTTGAAGTTGGGGAGCTCGATGGTGGCGTTGACCACACAGGTGATGCCTTTAGACAGCAGCAGGCTGCGGTTGGATGCCACGTTGCCTCTGCTGAGGAAGAGGTTGGGGGTGATTTGGGCAATGCCCCCCAGCAGGCTGCTGTTCTCGGGGAGCAGCCTCGGCACCATAGTGGGCACCATGGTGCTACGATGGTGGTGGTGGTGGAAGAAGCCTTGGCTGCGGGAACCCATCGAGGAATCAAGTGGGCTTCAAGAAGGATGCCAATTTTTGTCTTTTTAAAGCAAAATCTTCAGGAGCTCAGAGTCATAGTAGTGCAGCCAGCCAAACAGCTCCTGTAACACACAAACAGATTTCCCTTTCAATCTAAATTCAACATTTTTCTACTTCACTGTTGGCCAAGCACAAACATACAATCACTTCACAAGGACGAGTAACGCCATTGCTGTTTGCAACGTGTTCAATTGCTTTTTTGCTGACACAGTTGTTTCCAGTAAATGTTATTCTGCAGTCTTTAAACTTAAAAAAAATGGAAAGATAAAACTGTTTGAGTTTAGACATAGTAGTTCACTAATTCAAACGAAATGCTGCTGTGACCGACTGATCCACAGTCTTCACTCTACAATTACATCGATGGACAGATGAAAAATGTTTCCATCTCAACCAGAGGTCTCTGCTGAATGATTCTCTACATTCAGGTTGAATGGCCGCCCTCTGCCATGTGAGCGCAGACCCCCTGGAGGCGTTCATTCACCTCCTCTCATGTTCATCCATCCACAGCCCTCACATACAGATTACATCTCTCGTCTCTCTCTTTGGCTATCGTGCTGTTGATGTCATTTCAGCACCAAGTGGAAAGTAATCACATAAAATATGATCATGCATCATTTAAGCACCACATTTTCTAAACTCTATTAATCTATCTGCTTTTCCTTTTTGCAAAAAAAAAATGAAGAAAAAGATCTTATCTGAACCGTAACGTGACATTTCTGTCTGCACTGCATATGATGGAAACACCCTCCTGTGTGACTACTTCAGTTATCAGCAGCGAGCTCACAGCTCCGGGCGCTACTTCACACACTGTTGCACTTGTCGTGCGTCATCCACACCTTGTGCACCAGTCTATCTGGCAGGTCTTTTTCTCTCATTTTCTGCTCCAATCTGGTTAACAAGACACACGGGTCAACTGCTTTAAGCTGGAGCTCAACCTGCGGGGAAAAAACCACCACCTGATCATCTGCTTAGAGACTGCCAACACGGATTGGGATTCTTCTCATTCATAAATTGTAAACAAAAAAACACGAACGACATGAATTTAAAGACATTGCATAACTGACAATACAATGAAATTGTGCTGGTAGCTTTGTTATCCAACGACAGATTTCTGCTGCCTCATCCTTTAAATCAGTTGGTCCCGAAGCATCAGGGTCATGGTGGATTATTTAACCAGATAGAAGCCAAACTAGAAATATTTGTTCTACACAAAATGTTTGATTTTTCCAGAATTTGCAGAAATGTAATTATTACTGAATAATTTTGTCTCCCTGAGTGTTTTGAGCTTCAGTGTTTCATCGTCACCGTCCTCTACACCTTCTGCTCCTGTCGATCACAGCTTTGCCACCTCAGCATGGTCTGCTTCTCTTTCCAAAAAGCAACTAGAGAAAAAAGGATCACAAGCTAAAACGACACCCTCCTCCCTACTCGTTCAGGCAGTTTCTCCCTATTGCCAATTACTCTGCACTTTGCCTCTGAAATGGTTGCCGTGATCCACTGTCCAACACACCGTCAACACTGGTGATGACTCTGGAAACAATGTGTGACCATCAAAACCACATCAGGAGGTGGTCAGATAATAAGAAACAAGTCCTACATGCAGTAAGTCCTACACCAGTGCTATGGTAGTTAGTCTTGCACATTGTTAGAGCAGCAGAGTAAAACGTGTGTAAGCCTTTTGTCTTACTGAACTCAAACAATTGGTTGATTGATGATTGACAGAAACGTAACCGGCAACTACTTTGATAATGAATCAAGTCATTTTCTAATGGAGAACATTTCCTTATATTCAGAGAGGATTTGCTTCTTTTCTCTCTCATGTGACAGGAAATTGAGTAAATATTTTTAAACTGTTGGTCAGAGTGTTTGAGGACATCAACATGTTTCCCTATTTTATTTTATTGACCAACCAAATGACAAATTGATTCATCTAGAAAATGATCTTCGGGTTAATTGATTATGTTAGTTGCAGCCTAGACTTAGCACCAACAGCGCACATATTTTGAGAAACAAATTCAATTTTTAAAAGGATACAGGAAATGCATTGTGTGTATGATATTAGACGTCCGTTTGATAACGGGGTTTATCTTACTCTAATCAATCAGTAGTGCTAGATCTGAAAAGGGGAACTTCGATGATGTCCTGCATGCATTCTTTGTTTTCGGCGGGATGCACAGTCGATGCAGTAATTTGTGGAGATAAGAGAAGATGTACGTCAGCTGACATAGGTACAAACTCTGTTGCTACGGCAACCTACTGACCACAGCACAAGACAGTCGACAGAGAAATGAAGGAGATGAGGGAAGGAAATAATCCCCGGACCTCCCCCAAAGTGCTGATGAACCACAGCGCCGGTCTTTGCTGAGATTTGCTCCATCCGCATGCCCTGCTTGTCGTTATTTATACGACAAGCAGGGCATGAGTGAAGCTGCACAGAGCGGAGGAGGGAGAAGTATGCAGACAGAACAATCTAATGTAATGGTGGAGATAGTGGGAATACTCTGCAGATCGCTGTCAATCAAATTGACCGTGATGACCGAGTCTCCCCCAAAAAAGACAAAAAACACTGAGGAAGGTCAGGAGCATTCAAAGGACAGAGAGGAGCATCGTTTCACAAATCAACCCCTCGTGTCTTCTTCTTCTGTTGATGTTACAAAAACAACCCGGCTATCAATCATTCAAGGTGGATCTGTCGACAGGTGGTTCCACATCTCCGTCTCTCTCACGCTCTCTCTGTAGGGAGCGGGGGGATTCCTTGAGGGTCCGGTTCCACCTCCCGCTAACACAAAATGGAAACATGACCCACCTGCAGGAAAACTAGAGCAGCACAACCTGACGGCAACCTCACTCTCACAACTCTTTACGGTAAAAACCTCGACGACAACCGGATTCTGAGCTGAACCTCACATCAAATCCTTGACTGACGCTCCTTCACACCACAGAATCAAAACAGTGAAACGGCAGGAAAAGGTGCACAAGCAGACACGCAGCCCTCATCGGTACAATCAAAGGCAATCCATCTCTTCTGTCTGGGTGATCTCTGAAAGTGACTCTGCTGCCAACAGTCTGGATAATTATCAGGAGAAAATGGGCAGCAATGACACGGCTTCTCACATTTATCTGAACACAACTGGGTGCAACTTTACAACCCACAAACAAGGCTTCTGGGTAAAAAGGTTTACTGCAAAGGGTTCAAACGAGAGCATGGTCAACAGGAGTTTAGGGACAAATTCCTCTTGAGGACAGGGTTCGGCTTTGGCACCTTCCTGCAAACTGCAGCGACTGGGTGCCGCTCACTCCAACCACAATGTTACACCTCAGACACGAACACAACAGCCTGAGACTCAGGGCCACATGTCGTCTAGTGAGAGATGGTGAGTGTGCAAATGCTCTACAAACCAAATAAAACGCGGTGGCTGAAATGCCGTTGTTTTCAAATATATTACACAATGAAGCCTCTTGTATGTAAACATAGAAATCCATTTGGCTTAAAAAGCCACGTTTGTAGGAACAATCGCATCCATCACTGCAGCAGATGGATGAGACAGATAAATCTAGTGACTCTACTTTACCTTTAAACAATGACACGCTGTTCAGATCTAAGGAGACAGACTTGTTACCTATGATTGGGGCTACAAGCAATGAATATCAAACAGAGCTGAAACCATTAGTAGGTTCAATTTTGAAGTTAATCTGCAACCATTTTGTAAACCGATTTCTAAGCAAACATACCGAAAGACTGTCTACAGGCTGGTAGTGCTGGGCAATAATCAATATGATGATTTATCATCTTTCAATGCCACATCCTGATGAAATCATATATCATGATACACAATTACCTTGTCTAAATTGATGATAACAAGCACATAAATCTAATTTATTTTGCCCTAAAGTTCTCAATTAAATGAGAAATGACTCAGTACTTCTCATTTGTCAAGTATTTAATTCACACAAGAGTAAAACCATGTGGATATTTCATATAGACGATTTATATATTTAACTACCAGAAAACAGGCTATATGAAATGACCTACATCGTTATTGAAGATTTGGGCCGGGTCCTAAACTCTAGCTTCCTAAATGGGAAATTTGCTGCTTTAGTCAAATTAACAATTAATTATGTTTATACAGTACCAGTTAAGACACACCTTTTTATCAAGTTATTATCATCATCATTTTCTACATTGTAGATTGAAAAAGTATGAAACATGTTTTATATTTTAGATTCTTCAAAGTAGCCTTTTTTGCCTTGATGAAAGCTTTCACACTCTTGGCATCATCTATAACCAGCGTGCTATATGCAGAGTCACCTGGAATGCGTCTTGAAGGAGTTCCCATAGACTTAATATCCACACTGGCTTTTCATGAAAGGAAGTGCGACACCTCCGTGTGTGGAAATGTGGAGCTTTAAGTGAATGATTGTCCACGAGTTTTATTATTTACGATTGGAGATGTGAAAAGGACTGCTCCTCTGCGCACGAGCGACTCGTCATCGTGTGCTTATCGTTAACAATAGATTATTTTAAGTGTAAAATATAAAAAGTGTGGAACGTTATGGTCCTGGTTACGACTAAACTAAGAGACATGTGACACACAGAAGTGTGGCAGGTGCCACTCGTTTCTTCAATTTCACCCATATTACATCAGAAAACTGAACCTGAGGGTAAATGCTTAAAACTGTGTTATATTAAAACTGTGTCAATGCTTTGTTTGAATTTTAATAAAAAACAAACAAACATCTTATTCTAGGTCATAAAGCCGCCGATAAACTGCCTCCATCAGATGTAAAAGTCAACTTACCAGTCGACTCTCAGTCGGGCAGAGATGGAGGTTCTTAACGCGCCTTCACAGACAGCAGCAATCCGGCGAGCTGGTCTCACACTCCGGACATCTATCTTCAGTCAGTGCGCTCTTACAGACGTCCAGCAGGGCGAGAGGCCAGGTAGCGGGAGACCAACCGCGACACTCAACAACATAATGTGAAAGTCAGCAGAAATACGAGCCATCAGTACATCCGCCTGCTTCTACACTGACAGTAGCGGCGTGCACCGGGCATCCTCGGTATGAGGAGCGATCAGTGCCACACAGGAGAGGAGGAGGAGGAGGAGAGGAGGAGAGGAGGGACATGCATGTCTGAACTTCAGATTATCATTGTGAAATTAACACATTCCCATTGGGTCTACAATATAATATGCTGCTACTGAAAGCTGATTGTGCAGAGTATATCTATATCTTCATTTGTGCTACAATTAATGGTAAATTGAAAGAAACTAAAGATAAAGAAATATTCTTTCCCGCTACAATGTTGTATTTTTTCTTTTTCTTTTATTGATTACTAAAATAGGTGAGTGACTATAAGCGAGATAACAATCCCCATATAAACTGTAGTCTCTCTCTCTCTCTCTCTCTCTCTCTCTCTCTCTCTCTCTGGCATCTATTACTCCTCATACAGAGTGGTGGGGGGGGGGGGATCAAGCACACAGAGCACAATTCTAAAAACTACAGGTGAGAATCAACTACGAAACAAACAACCCTCATGTCTGGTTGAAGAATCATTATAGCCTGACTGAAAAGCAATGTTGATGGCTTTCACAATTCGGTCTCTTTCTAAACAAGAGACCGTCTGTTTCCCCCAAAATGTTTCTGATGCTCTTTCTCAGAAGTGAGTGGAATAAAATCTCTAAAAATTAAGAATATCAGCAGGGCTGTAGCCCTGAGTCCAATTTTTCCAGCCGAAACCCACCCACCTAAACAATTTTTAAATAGCTACCAACCAAACTCAGCATTTTAGGAAATCCCCAAATTTCACATTTATTCTTTCATTTAACAGTTATATTTACATCATGGTCTAGTTGTTGTTTGAAAGCATTCTCTACAATGATAAGTCTGTTATTCTAGTAGATAATACCAAACCACATTTAATTTATTCAGTTTCTTTTTTATTTCTTTTTAAATGTTTTTTTAAACTATCTCTCTATTACAAATCCAAACCAGCCTTAAACCCCACAACATTATGTAATATGTCAATAGAAATTCTGAGGGCATGATCTTGGTGTCCTTAATGATACAGCCCTGCTTATCAGTTTGATTCTTTTTTTAAAATAGATCACATTATACATTTACTTTCTGACTGATAAATGATGTGATGACAGATTGATCAATATGTGGACCGTGACCTTAACAGAACTTAACTTTAACATCTTGAAATGGGATCACACCAGCCGTGATGCCAAGGGGGGCTATAGGGGCGTAAAGTGGGTGGGCCAATGGAACCTCACCCACTTCCTACCCCGGCATTCATACACGGGCCGTCCTACTTCTGGGGCCCTTGCTCGGCCCTCACCCTTCTTCGAACTCATTTGATCTCAATATACACACACGTTGGTTTCATGACTGCATCTTGCACGGTTGTGACGCTATCATGGTAACAAAATCTGTCCACAGACAGACAGACTATAGAGAAATATAAACACGCGGCAAGGTCCTCAAAATGTGTATGTATGTAGTTTAACAACACCCTGACACTCCTGTGTTCTTTGCTACAAAAACCTGTAGGTTTTCTTCCTAAACCTTCTCGTGCACAGACAGCTGAACCTGATACGGTAGCTTCACATACAACACTTTATTTGAATGCCTGCAGGGACCTGTGTGATCATGTTGCAGGTCTTCAACTTATAAAACCAAGAGAGCAAACTCAGAGTTGGAGATGCAATAAACAATGTAGGATCACACCCCAAAGTGGCAATATGTTTTCATTTCAGTTGTTATCGAATTGTTTTACGCACACTCAAATGCGCACATTACCAATTTAAATGTGGGCTACAGGCGGGAATGGAAAACAAATATACTGTCTGTTATAAAGGTCTGTTATTTCAAATCTCATTATGCCCTGCCCTGGAGAAAAAAGTGCTTGATATCCCTGCAGACCCGCAGACGTTTCCACCATCTATATGCCCACAATTGGAGACCCTCAAGACTGCAGCTGGGCTGTCTGTGCAGCCCTTTGTGTATATATCCGTGTACAAAACCATAATTAGACATGCCTTCCGAAGTCAATCCTATTTCAAGGGGCTCCTGGGGGAGATATTACACTATCCATAAACCCGTGCCCCCCTGCCTCAGAGTCACTCCTAATTACATTGCAAATTCAATCAGCTGGAAACAAACAGCCGAAGTACCAGGCAGTGCAAACTGGTGCAAAGGTGACCGTCTGCACTACTTAAAATGCTAGTCATAGGAGATGAGCGCTAATGTTGATTCAAATTCACCGGAAAAGATGAGGAAATGGTGACGAAATGAACAGAATGAGCAAGAATTGAAAAGAAAAAAAGACGGAATCGATAAGACGGATAGAGGGATAAGAGTGAGGACGATTGAGCTGCAGGCTGGAGACAACGACTGTGGTTCAGACTGAAATGTCAGATGAGTCAGAGGGATTCTGGGAAGACGCTCCTGTTTAATATGGCTGCCATGGAGGCTGACAATTTACAATGACACCATGACCGTAATAACAAGCACCTGAAGCCATGTTCTGACAGAGCTGTCTGCTCGGAGTGAAGCGGGTAGTGACATTGATTAACCCTGACCACCTGTTACACAGAGCAACTGATAGGCTCGAAAAGTGCAGACGGTGATTTAACCGTGAAATCCTTTGCACATCTCTCACACATACGGACATAATAACCTGTGCTGCTCAGTTTTGGCACTTTCTTAGAGGCAGCAGAGATCCGTCAATCCTCATAGTAAACTATGACTACAGCGATCCCATTCAGGCTGCTTAAGAACAATCCTTGAGGGAGAATGCTGAAGATGACGGCAAGCATGGAAGCAGAAAAACACAAGTGGTGTCTGGAAATATTGGCACAAGCTAAGAGTCCAGATGAGCTCGTCTGCTAATAAGTTGATGGATGATTATCCCTGAGAAAGTAAACCACAGACTGCAAATCTCCACGATGATCCTAGCTGGCTTGTAACACGAGAGACGTTTATTTCAGTCCGTGCTGATGTGTGTGACTGACAGGCCGACGGTTGGTAAGATGAGGAGAATGGAAAGTGTTTTCTGGTCAGCAGTGATGGAAACCAGGCGAGCAGGAGGGAGGAGGGAGAAAGGGGGGGGGGGCTCTAAATAAAGTCGCTGCTGATCCCACAGTTGGCCCCATGGCTCCAGCTGTGACGGTCGTAAATATACATGGGGGATCTAAGGCAACACTTGAGAGCAGAGAGGTGGCTGAGCGCAGCATGGAGCCTCCCTCTGATCAGTGATGCTCTGACATCAAACAAACACATTTGCTGCTTTGCAAAAGGAACGAGACCTGAGACGCCTCACACACACACACACACACACACACACACACACACACACACACACACACACCCTGTTACCATCCATCCATCCACGGAGAGGATATAAAACACAGTGGAGGCATCTTTTCCCTATATTATGTCTTATTGAGTGCTGGATGGCTTGCATTTATTTGCTCCCTTTCTTCCATGTTAGTGAGAGAAAGCACGTACACTGATGGGTGGGGGGGGGGGGGGGGG